CCGATCTATGACCAACATTAGCGATAATTTTATATAATGAGTTCAGGGTAGCCATTACACCCATATTGAACGCATTATCTGTGGAAAGGCCAGCAACTGAAAGACATTAGTTAGGGACATTGACGCTCATTTCGAGGCGAGGAGAAAAGCTTACGAGTGAAGAAGTATGTCGAGTAGCCAATAAGATAAATTCCGCTGAATACCTGGATGGTGTAAACCCCAATGGCAATTTCGGTCCTTCGAAGGTTGACCCTTTTGAAACAATCCCAATACGTGGTACCAGCTTCCATCTCCTGCTCAAGCCGATCGGTTTCAATTATCATCGCCTAGCAGTATTCATCAACATGCTATTCAATTGGTAGTCCGCTAGTAAACGAGCTCCCTACCAGAGTCGCCTTCACATCCACCTGCGTGGATGCAAGTCGTCGTAGTGACTTCTCTGCGTCTTGCATCCTTCCTTTCCTCACTAGCCACCAAGGACTTTCGGGGGCAAAGAAGATACCTGAGAGGATAATGGCTGGCCCAAACCCCACTGTATGGAGAATGGTATGCTATAGGCCCAGTGGGTGTTCAATCCGTGAGTGGCAGCGGCGATACCATTCGCGATAAACTGGCCGATAACGAAGCACATGTTTATATACGCGGTCAGGACCCCTCGTAGCGCAACCGGGCAAACCTCAGAAGCATATGCTGGAGCAATGACTGCGTAACAGCCGAGGACTAGACCCCCTAAAAGTTCTCCAACCAGCAACACTGGAAGAGACCGGGCAAAGAATTGAATAAAAACGCAGCCTGCCGTAAGTATCACGCAAGTCTAAGTATAACCCCGAATAGATTAGCAAAGGACGGATCAAACAATGTCTCTGGCATACCAAAAAGGTCCATTTTCGCCCAAACCACTCCATGGGATAGCTTGCTGCTAGAGCGCCTACCACTTGCCCAATGGGACTTCCCATGCTAGACCAATGTCAACATAGGCATGCCACTTGAAGGCGGGTGAAGTCAAGTCATCACAAACCTGAGACCTGATTGCCAGGCAGCAGAGATTATCATTTTCCCCTTGTAAAGATAGCCAAAGTCCTCTTGAAACTTTGGCACACCGTACAAGTTCCCCATGATCTGAGGGTCAAAACCCGTCATAATGACGCCCAAGGAGAAGAACACAGGCCATGCAACTGCTTTTGGGTAAAGTTTGATAGCAGTGCGAAAGCCCATGCTCGTCTCCACCTCTATAGCTCCTTGCACCTCTTCTCCAATGTTGGCAGTTAACCAGCGGTTCTCAGCATCATGATCGGTGATCCCCATCTTGTTGGCTGCTAGGGATCCGAGAATAATAAAACAAAGTAGAGTGATGGCCTTGAGATAGTGGAAGATGAGTAGGAATTTCGACAAAGATGCACTCCTTTGGGATGGTTTTATGGTCAGCAATGGCACTGGTGAAGAGGATAAAGGGGCTAATATTGTCAATTCTAATTGATTCTTCAAGAGAGTTGCAAGCTATCAGGCCAACATTGTCCCAGTGATGATTTGGTTCTCATCTATGAATTGAAATGGAACAAACCACTTGAGGGTCAGGGTTGTACAGCACGTGCTCATCCAGAGGACACATGTCTGGGTAGGTCCTACTGTAAACCATGAAGGGGCTTAATGAGTAGCTCATTAAGACTGTTTGCAAAACCTGCAGTCTTGACACTGTAGGGAGAAAAAGATATCGACAGGGCCACAGACCCCTGGAGGCAGAGATGTCAATAAGCTTGTGGCTGTCCCCCCAGCATAGAAATGGCAGAACGGAATGGCTGGATTGAACCCAGATCAGCCAATCTCAGTTGCAGAAAGCGGTTTATCTGGGATACAGATCATCGATTGCATATCCCGGCTAGCCTCCTCGTACTCGGTAGTGAATAATAAGTCTGAGTACGTATATTCCGTACTCCGAATTTCTCAGTCTATGAGATCTTTGATTTAAAAATAAATAAATCAAATAAATAAAAATAAAAAAAGGCCATTAACTAGCTTACATAAGCAGGACAGGGTATGAGTCATGTGATCATAGGGCTAGCCCTTGCGGCAGCCAATCAGCAGTGAGGGTGTGCTGAGCGGTGAGCGCCAAGTGAGCCAGAGCGAGTTCTGCCGGGAAGAGCGGGATGACTTCACTTCTCTTTGCAGTGTCAGAGTGCTGCAGTGAATCAGACCTGATGCCATCCAAGGCGGATGATTCATGCACTGGTGAATACATGCCTTTTCCTTTTTTCCCTTCTTCTTTACTTTCCATCTTTCATACTGCTACATTTCTCCATTCTCCAGTGATTTCAAGCTACATATTCCCTGCATTTTGTTCCCTTGTGCATCAACCACGTTTGAGATATTTTCGATTTTTTTGAAGAGAGTCAGCTTCTGCTATGGTGGCTGTGCCAACATTGCTCCAGATGGCTCGAAGAGCCTGTGTAAAGCAGGCGAAAGGTGAGTCGAACTCCTTTGAGCCCTGGAGTTAATATCGCTTAAAAGGACTGGTCTGATTGTCTTGTAAAGGGATTTTGGGTGTTGGCGATGCCCCATATGAGCTCGTTCGATCTATCCTTTTAAAGGTCGAAAACCCAAAGCAGCTAGTACGCTTATATCTCTCTTCTCAGCACTCTGATCTGTATGTGGCTAACCCCGATCCTTCCAGCACACCATTGAGACGAACTCCCCCCAGCTCAGGGAGTATACAGGGGAGCTTTGGATTGAGCTTATCAAACGGGATATCCCGTTCTGGAGGAAGGTCGAATTTCCCGAAAATCCGGAGAGCTGGTATGACTTCTACTGCTCTCTCAGGGAGCAAGCGGCGCAGGAGCTTGAGCTGCAGGCCGAGAGAGTCAAGGAGGTCATGGACGGGCTCAACTCTCAAAAGGCCAAGCACTCTGCGAAGATGGTCAGCGCCACAATGTTGGGCCTCCCGCAACAAAAGCCAACCAGTTCTCAAAAGTACGCCAACTATGACCGCCAGATGGGTGGCCTACAGCCGAGATTTGTCTCAGCTCCTGCGCCAGGCCAAAAGGGACTCACAGCGTATTCGAACAAGGCACCGTGGTCATTTGAACGGCCAAAACTGCGCGCGCCGCCCAAATCCAGGAAACCAGCTATACCAGTCTTCAAGCGAAATGACCGCCTTTGTACCCCAACTCACCAGCTAAGCAAGAAGGCGTCAGTTGTTAACCGAGCACCGATTTCCTTTGTCGAAGATTATAAGATGAAGCAACGTCTCGCTCAGCAAAACGCGAAAATACCCATCAGAACCCCCGCTCCTCCAAGAGCGTCAGGTATTTCGACGCCGGGCCCGCAAAAAGGACCCGTTTCCAAAACCCAGACGAAATCCTCTTCCTTGACATTCCCTCAAGCAAGCAGACATACATCGTCACCCCTTATCAAACCGAAACCGACGACCTCTAGTGCAGGAGGGACGCAAACTACCTCCGCGACATTGCCGCTTCAGGCCACCAAATCAAAGCCCAGCTCGTCGGTTGTGAATCCAACCGCAAGCGCCGCTCAACAATCGTCTCCGCCTAGGACTGTCGCTGCACCATTTCGACGCCGATCACCACCAAACCCACTTCTCATTCCCAAGAAAAGGCCGACATCGTCGTCAGCGCAAATGTCTTCAAGCCCAACCCTCCAAACGGCTCCTTGTAGACATTCTACCGAACCGGGATCCTCGAGCCTGCAGGGAGCTGGCAACGCTAAGAGACAGCGCATATCTTGATCACCTATGCCAACCTTTGTTTTTTCCCAGTTTCTTAATCACCACTTCTCTCCAACTTCATGTACCCATACCATTAGGATTTGGTGGCGCTTGGATTGGTTTTATAAAGACGATGATACCCCTTGAATGAATTTATGCGGCTATGGTCACGGAGTACTGCGATGGAAATATCCTCCTATATTTAAGACTAAATTGTCTTTGATGTGGCTTCCTACTTAGTTTTGGTGCAATGTACCCGTTCTTTTTGATGATTTTTTATTTCTTTCCCTTGATTCACGGGGAGCACTATTACAGAAGAAGATTTTTGAGATAGATGAACGGGCTATACCTTTACTTGTGTGACATGACACATGTCTTCATTCTCCTCTTTATTCGCTTTTACAACATTTTGCGGCTTGCGTTTGATATACCACTTGATGTATAATCTATACCAATAACAAGGGACCAATACAAGTAATGTAATCAGCGTACTCCAATACACCAAAAGGTGGTACGAGAACCCTCCAGATGGTCAGCTAAAAGGACATAGTCGAGCCTGTACCCAATACACGCCTAGGCTCCGAGTCTTCATGAAACAATCCTTCCGGCGAATGCGTGTCGCTCGGTTCACGACCACAGAAACTGGTCGTCGCGTTGGCCATTCAAGACTCCCCGCACCAGCCTGAGAAAGGTCTTCCAACGAGGCGCAGGTGGGTTATGCAGGCAATAATTCCGTAAAAGAGAGATGGGACTGAAAAAAAAATATAACAACCCCCACCAAAGGGCGTCTCTCGTCTGTCCATCCACTTTACCAATCTTTAATTTCCCCCCCTCAACGCGAGCACAAGATGTAACGTCGCGCCTCCTTCAAGGTTATAGTCTTGCGCGGTCTTGTCATCGGCCCTATCCGGCAGAAGTCCTGTTAACGAAAACCGCTCGTTTCCAACCCTCATAAAGGGATAAGTAGCACGTACATTTGTTTTCCACCAAAGATCAAGCGCTGCTGGACGGGGGGAATTCCTTCTTTCTCTTCGACGCGTTCCTTAATACGAGAGACCTAGAGAGGTAAGAAACGGTTTTATTTTGTGTGTCAGACGAAATAGCCTGGGATTGTGTTGTAGAAGGCGCGTTCAGGGCGCTGGTGCTGCTTGCGCGTGTCGTGGTGGAAAAGGCAGGCTTGGGGGAATTCGTACTTTATAGTCTGGTTCGATGTCCAGCTCGATCTCCTTGCCTGTAAGTGTCCGCACTCTGAAGAAGTGAGCGGTTAGTTTGCAGCTGTGTCATGGTTGTGGGCAATGGTGGGTGGTTTACTTGATTAACATTTTCAGAGGCTTGGGGCTTTTTGGCGGCGGGCAGGGAGCAGGCTGCTAGGGCTGTGGAATGTGAAGACGCGTGTAATAGGGACTGAGAGAGGATATGCGTTCTTCTCTGGAGTAACAACACAATGAGCGGTGATGTTTGGTGACACTGAAAAGAGTAGGGCGGGGTCTCAAGCAACTTATTCTTTGGTGGGGTGCTTTTCAGCCCTGCCTGATGTGCCGACGAACAGCTCCAAACACGGACGGAACAAGCGCTTCCACCACCGCTGCCCGTTTTCGTTGTCTGATTTATGAGGAAATGGAGATTGATCTTGTTTTATAATCGGCAGTGCTGTATTTGCACATAGCCACTAGTTATTCTACTGTCGCTGGGAATGAACCGAGGATGAACCCAGAATTCTCTGACAACATTTCTAGTTGCTTCTGATCTATACGCTCCCTCTACACAGAGCAAATATTCGGTTAATACTAGATACGGCGTGGCGCGCTCCAAGGCTTAGAACTTAGAAGGCATAGAAAGCTAGCCTTGTCGAATGAACCTCGAGCCGCTTCGAAGTGGTGAGATGCATGGTGCATGCTACCGCTTGCTAGGAAGCTGGTATTGACCCATGGTGTTTTGCAGGCTTCTTTGAGAAGCAGTGGCGTCAAGTTTTCCCAGGAGCCATCAGTTAACCAACTTGACGCCAGCCATCTGACAACGGAGTGAGGGGAGTCGCCTCCGCATGCCCAAAGCAGGGATACTTCGTGCTACTCCGCAGTTTGATCCCTATGTTAGATCCATCCACCTGTTGAAAGACCTAGCCTTAGAGTAGTTGGTTGGTATCAAAGTTCATAAAAGTGTCATGTCTGGAATTCCCAGTAGCTCTAAGCAAAGCGTTTGAGGGAATCTCGCAGTGGAATAAACCCGAGTTTGCAGTTCAAAGGGAATAATAATTAAAGCTATTCCGTCGACATTGCTTTGTAAACGTCCATTCCCGATGACAATGCCGTTTCTTCATCGTCGTGTAAAAGTTGACGGTGGATTTGGGCGGAGGCGTGGTGCAGGTTGCCGAATACGGTTAGCGTGGCGTGGGAATTCCATAAGCGAAGAGAACGCACACTTTCGACCTCCGCTCTGTGTGATTTCAACGATCGAGACGACAACGACCACACCAAGCTTGTGATCCGGCCAAATCAGTCAAAATGGTAAGCATGACTCTTTCATTGTCGTTTTGGACGCTGGATTTTCGAAAGAGGAGGATTCCGCCGTGCTACTCCGACGACGCGACGATTTGGATATCCCCGATAGCGAAACACCTTCAAGCGAAAAATAAGTCCGATTTTGGAGGGATTGGGGAAAGTGACAAACGCCTTTACTCTCGAAATCGTCCAGAGTCTACGTCTTTGGCAAAACTATCAGCCGTGGGAGGGGAACTTTTTGAGTCGCCCAACGAAACGATGATATCAACACCTGGGTGTTTCTCCCAACCCCGTTTGCGAATGAATCGCGGATCCGCTTGTCTTTCGACTGGGAGCACTGCTAGGCGATTGGAAAATTCGTTATATCTGGGAATCTCGAGTCTTATCTCCGATCATTGGGACAATGGCTGACGAAATTGCAATTTTCGCAAATTGAATTAGGTCAACATTCCAAAAACCCGCCGGACGTACTGCAAGTCCAAGCAGTGCCACAAACACACCCAGCACAGAGTCACACAATACAAGGCTGGAAAGGTGAGGACCCCGCGCCCTCGAACTCCGCCGGATCCCACTCGTGATCTATCTCAAAACGCGAAATGATGCGGAGCAAATCATCGATGGAAAATGTACGAACAAATTTCGCTGACGCATATTTTCTTCGACTATATCTAGGCTTCCCTGTTCGCTCAGGGTAAGCGCCGTTACGATCGTAAGCAGAGCGGTTATGGTGGTCAGACCAAACCTGTGTTCAGAAAGAAGGCCAAGACCACCAAGAAGGTCGTTTTGCGGTTGGAATGCACCGTGTGCAAGACCAAGGCACAGCTCGCTTTGAAACGATGCAAGCATTTCGAATTGGGGTATGTATCCTCCGCCTGCTGCCGTTTGGCCGAGCATCTAGGACAACCCGCGTTTTCGTTTTCGGATAGATGGCTAATCATGGTTCAATCAATAGTGGTGACAAGAAAACAAAGGGTGCTGCTCTCGTCTTCTAAACCTTTCTTGATAAAAATCGAAATCATAATGGTCATGTCATGTCGCTTTTCATATCCGTTTTATTTCCTGTTTTCAAGGCATGGCGGCGAAAGCTCTGTAATTAGAGCAAAATGACTGGTTATAGGAATGGAAGTCATGAGCATCATTGAAACACATTTGGGACCTTTGTTACGCACAGTCTGTTGTGGGAAAAGGTAATTCAACAATTGGTGTTATGGTGGATATTCCAGGTCGAGATCGAGATAAACTCCAATCGAACAATATGGCCAAAATTATCCCAAGTAGAACAATGCACTGGGTGATATTCAATTTCTTTTACCAGATGAGTTTCTGCTATCATCTCGGCTACTTTATATCGGATAGAAGGTAAAAAAAAATTTTAACCCGAACAGCATTCACTAACTAGTGTTTCCGCTCCTCACTTTGACTTCTGGAGACCCGTCTTAGGGCTCCGTGACGACCCAGCTCCGACGTATTCCTGGACCCCGGCCTTGTGCACTCGCCCGTTGATTACAATGACGCTCAATCTATCGTGATCCTGCAAGATACTGATGTCTTCAAGGGGATTGCCATCTACCAGAATGCAGTCTGCATAGTAACCCGGCAGGATTTTCCCGAGTTCGGATTCACGCATGAAAAGCTTTGCAACACCTGCGGTGGCGGCAATGATGCTTTCGTGGGCGGTGAATCCGAGGAGGTTCTGGAAGTGTTCGAGATCTCGCGCATACGTGCCGTGGGGGGTCCAGGCGAAGCCATAGTCTCTGTTGCTACGGGGTTAGCGATGGATCTTTGATGGATGCTTGAACGTTGATCTCACCCTCCGGGAAGTACAACGATCCCACGCTCGTGCATCTCTCTTAGGGCTTTGACGGCCTCGTCAAGTTCCCTTTTATATCCCACCTGCTCAGCCTTTTCTTTGGGATAGCCAAAAGACCCGGCTTCATAAAGGGTGGCAATAAGCCAGTTTATTGCTGGCACGACAACATGCTTCGCCTTCTTCCGCTCCAGCAAGTCCATTCCTAGAAAAGACGATTGTTAGTTTTGAATTTGGGCTTCGAGGTTTTGACCTGACGCTACCTCTTTCGTCAATATAAGAAGCGTGGAATATCACATCAACCCCATGGTTCAGACACATGGTGACCGAATCTCGAGCGCGAGCGTGCGCGCAAACCATTTTGCCGTTTTTATGTGCTTCGTCCACACACGCAGAGGTTTCTTCGTCGGTGAAATAGCAGTCTTCCGCTGATCGGATCTCCGTGATCTGACCAAAACCCTGTTAGCATCGGCTAGCAGACTACTCCTTGATGCTGCTCCTGCTACCTCTTCACCGGACATGCTCAGCTTGATTTGGTCCACGCCAATCCCGACGTGACTCCTGATCACCTGTCTCATCTCATCCGGCCCATCTGCAAATGCGGTGATTCCCGCCACCAATTCTCCATCCCTGCGAGCTATTTCTCTACCATTGGCCAGGCACCTTGGGCCTGGGATTTCACCGGCATTAATCGCATCGCGGATAACGACGTCGAGCCTGTCTTTTGCCGAAGCTGCGCCCCAACACCTTGTTCTACCTCAGCAGCTGAACATTTGAAACATCCTTGAAGGAACTTAGGCTTTTGACATCCGTACATTGTGTACCCCGAGTCGAGGTAACATTTTGCGCTCCTAGCTGTCAATAAGGTATGTTCTTCAACGCCCAATTCTCCAAGTTTATTGAGATCTCCGCCATTCCACGAAAGATGGGTATGAGCATCTCCCAGGCCTGACATCAAGGTACGACCTCTTCCTTGAAATATCTGAACATCGGGGTTACGAATGAGCGATTCTTTGTCAGGTACCTCACCGACAGCAACGATCCGTTCCCCTAACCATGTTAGCCTGAGTTGGTGGAGAAGAATCACGGGTCTCTATACGTACCATGAATAAGAACATCGCCCTTATAAGGTTGTCTCCCCGTTGAGTCCAGAACATCAACATCAACGAACAAGATCTTGGACTCCGGATTTGTTCCGGCTATTTCGTAGGGTCTGGGACGCAACGTATTCTCAAACTTGATAGCATTGATGGCTGCTATATTCCGTGGATATTCATGGTATATCTTCTGGTCTTCGACAGTATAGTTCCCGGGAACTGGGTATTCCTCTATCCGTGTAGTAATAGTCATGGTCTTTGAACGGATCTTGCTGATAATCTTCCCAAACATTTTAACCCCGTCGAACCTAGGATCTCCGGATAAAAGAGACGACCTGGAGTTCACATAATAAAATCCCTCAACAACGCTGTCGCTAATTATGCGGGAATATGCTTGGATATAGTATACTCAGTGCCAGCCGCGAATGTATGCTTTGTCTCACGTCTGACGTTGAAGGCCCAAGTCGATAAAATCGGGGAGCGCCATCTGAGCGGCGAACGACAATCCCCCGCAGGACCGTCAAGATAGCCTGAAATAAACAATTATAATTATTGCATGAAGAAGCCATGGCCAGAGCACCCTCAGAGAGCGTTGGTTGGCTCAGGCGGAGGGGGAATTGTCTCCTTTGCCGTGGGTTGACCCATAGATCCGCGTTCCTTTGTCCTCTGCATCGGAAAATCGACTATAGGAAACAAGACAATAGGCATAGCATCTGGCGACGAGGCTGCCACGCCGGCAGTGATGGCATTCTTCAAAAATCAGGCCCGAAGAGCGGTTGGCGAGCAAGAAAAAGAAAAGAGAGACTTTAGGTGCGGAATCGCTCATTTCTGGGGATGATCAAACCGCTGAAATCGCAAGTTTTGAACACAAAAATCTCAAATAATCTCAGCCAATAAGCAGTTTCTCATGATCAAGAGGTTGATTGACTGTTTCTATCAGTGGTCGACCAATATCCTTCGCATCCGACAGAGCATCCCTCTGTGAATATACCAACTACTTCCTCTGCAGAACGAGCTGTCGGCTCTTGATCCGAAACAAATAACCATCTCAAAGAAACCGATTCTGAATGATTCTTGTGTCTAATCTGTTTATACAGTACACTGTATCCATTCCACCAGATCACCTCGAATCCCTTTCGATTTAGATCTGAAGCTCGTTGCCGCTTGCTTGCACTGGTACAACGGACCTCTTGGACGGAACCCTCCGCAGTCCCGTTCGTTGCATCAGGGTGCGGAGATTGACGGATGCCCTTGGTCCTCGCCGTTTGCCAAACCACATCAGGGCAAAGGTGCAGCGGAGATGGCGGAGAACTCGACCAATGACTTCCAACTCGCAGCCAATTCTCCGCGGCATCACTCAGATTCTAGCAACTGATGCCTTGCGTTCTCTGGTCGTTGGAACATGAGGCTGTCCCCTCCGTCCTGCCAACGGCCATGCCAGTGTCAAGTACGTGATCTCCGCTCCGAGGACCAGGGCTAAAGCGATGTAGCTTACTAGCTCGCGGAGCGCAACAGATCAAATCCGTAGCCAGCGCAAAAATTTGCGAAGAGTGTCTCCTCTGTTGAACAGGTATAAGTGTGCTTCGACAGCCGCTTTATTTTAGCCCTCTTCTTACCAGTTTCCACCGTTCTGTTTGTCTGAGAAGAGCCTCTAGCCCGGTGAACACGATCAACTCAACTGCGTATACTGACACTGCATATAACGGGCCTCGGATAAGCCATTTGGACTTTGAGACTTCGACAAAGCAGCCACTATCATTCGTGTCTGGCACGCCAATCTAAACTTTGTACCAAGTGATAGAGGCAGGGGATGACAATGATATGGCTGCCGGACAACGCGTAGCGTTACACAACGTGCGAATTCTTCCTCCACTAGACAAGGGAGACATTCTCGCGGTCGGAAAGAACTATGCGGAGCACGCAGCAGAGTTCCTTCGAACGGAGTTTGGTAGCTCAGATAACGTGCACCAGCCGGAATCCGATGATTTTCAGAGGACGAGATCGATCATTGCGACCGGCCCGAACATTGCAACGATCCTGATTTCACGCGAACACTGGATTATGAAGGCGAGATCGGGGTTAATTTGGGCAAACCCAGTGTCAAGATACCCAGAAATCGAGTCCTTGAACATGTCTGGGGCTATACCATTATCAACAACGTCACTGCACGGGACCGGTAGAGGGACCTTAAATAATTTTATATTGGCAAGCCCAGCGATACATACTGCTCAGTGGTAAGTCAGCAACAGCAAGGAAACATGAAGCATCACTCTCTGACATAACATAGGGTCCTATTGCCGTCCCATTGAAGTATATGCCAGAGGTTCTTGAGATCAAAGCAACAGTCAATGGCCAAGAGAGGCAAAGGGGTCTGTTGCAACCAACATTCACCATTCTCTATTTGATCAAGACACCGTCAGAAGGCCGGAGGCTCCGTGCGGGAGACGTGCTGGCAACTGGTACTGTAAGTCTGTTTTCAGTCTAGCAGTACCCGAGAAAGCATGTTAACTCGTGTTGCATATTTGTAGCTAGCCGGCGTAGGAATTGGGAGGAAGCCTCCTATATTTCAGAAGGCAGGAGGCTAAATTGACATATCAGTCATCAGCCCAGGCGCTCTGCGAAACAGAATTGTAACTATTTCGCCGACACGCGAGGCCATGAAACGGAAATCCCGGTCACAAATACTGCAAAGTCGCTTTGGACGATTCCATCAAACGTATTCGCTACAGCCACTTTGGGCAAACGGATGGCCCGCCAATCGTCTTCATCCACGGCCTAGTTAAGGGGCACGCACGACGCGTATTTGCCAATCATTTCGTATCTGTCGCTGAGAGAGTCAAATACCTTGCATCTCTTTGACTTGGAAGGCTAAGGGCTCTCCTAATCCCGCTCTTTCGGCACTCAGTATCGAATCGTTTGATCTGATTTCAGACGCGTCTTCGAGTATGGAGAGATTACCCCTGGAGCATCAGCCACAGTACTCGCTCATTCTATGGGTTGTCTGGTTGCGTTGCGCTTTGTTCTGGACCATCCGGACATGGTCAAAAGCCTTGTGCTTCATGGTCCACCGCGGACGCTGCATGAGAGGGCTTCAAGCCTGGGCGGCCACGGTCGGGGATCGATGGCAACGGTGGTCGATTCGATATCACGAAAGCTCGAAATCCCGTTGCCCTCGCCGCCATTCGGCTGTCGCTGATGGGCCAGGACCCTGAGGGATACGCCAAAGCATGCCTGGCACTGCAGGCGCTCATGAGCAACCCGCACTCGACAGAATTGAGCGTCGCACATTGATTACTACTGGCGATCAAGATGGGATCTGCCCACCCGGCCTTTGCTCAGAGGATTCAAGACTGATCCGCAACTGTCGAGAGCCAGTGGAGTTGAAGGACGTTGGCCGCTGGCATTCATTTGAAGCCCCAGAAGCAGTTGCAAACGCCGTGTGGAAGTTTCTTCCAGATGCACACTGCTTCTTGTGTTCGTGTCATTCCACAGTTGGATCCATCAGATGTCACACAGAATGATTTGACGGTCTATTTGCCTATTTCGATGCATTTCCCGGATCTGGGACTGGCTTTGAGGCTGGAGGACTATCCATCACTATCCGGGCAGTTTAACATGGATCCTCAATGAGAAAAACCACAGAGCACTCCACGCTGTTTCGAAGGGTTTTCAGGGAAGAATTAATAGACTACTCTGCAGTTATCTCAACATCGCCCAGGCAATTAAGTCCCGAATCGAGAAGAAGCAACCAGCAAAGGAATCTTCATGAGCATAACAGAGCTTCAGACCGAAGTGAACACAAGAACAATGTATAGGGTGCTTCGCTGGCTGGGCTCAGTGCCCCAAGCGGCGCAGGGGCGCTTCTGGTGTCACACTGGCAGAGGGACTACAGTCGGTTCTCGCAGCATACCTTGTGTCTAAGAACGATGCACGCAAAGAAGCGACTACTTCATATGCATCATAATAGTCCGGATCACTCTACACTGAAGGGCACCCTGTGTACATGGAATCCCCGTTCCAGTCATTTTCAGCGGCTAACAGACTGCAGGCTTCGCACCGCAACCTGGCTAACTAGCTAGTGGATGGCTGTTGGAAATGGGCTGCTAGCCAAAGTTGAAAGCTTCAGAAAAAGAAACAAGCGATCTGCGCTGTTGATCACTAAACCACTGGGTCCCGAAGCTCACCGCCCACCGAACTTCTGATGGCGAAGGAATTGCGCGATCGAGCGACCCCCAGCAGCGGAAAGGGCCGCTTCGTCCGGATATGAACCTCTGCCTCGCCTGATGCACTCAAAGCGATAGGGAAAATTACTATCACCCGGCGCTGAGACCGTCCTCTCCTCGAAGTGCGCGACCCAAGGGCCCAACTGCGAGACGGCGGTGATCGGTCCCTGATGTCAAGACACGACGCTCGACATTCAATAACTACAGACAGATTAACCCTGCTATTTATCAGCCTGTAACTTCGTGACGATATCCGCTTCCCCCGTGGCCCGTCGCGATCATGGCGCCGCACGCACCGAGCAAACGCCTGCCAGTAAGCTGTGAGCCTTGCCGGAAGCGCAAGATCCGCTGTACTCGAAACGGGCCTCCCTGCGAGACTTGTCTGCGACGGGATTCAGGTCCGACCGCAATGCATCTTTCTGAGGCCATGCGAAGACAGTCCCCAGCGAAGCAACAGCCCGATCCCAGCCAACGAAGAGCTCCTCCAGCGTATCCGGAAATCTCGAGAACCTGCTCCGGAAGCATGTTGGAGACAACGCGCTGCAGCAGATGGAGATGATGTCGCGATCGGAGACGGATTCAACCCAGTTTCAGTTCCGATGTTGCTGACCTGCGGTCTAACGAGACTCCGTCGTCTCAGCTTCTTCGATCCGTCGGATCCCTCAGCATATCGTCAGCAGGATATGTTCGTTTCGAACCCCAGTCGTCCAAGCTTGGCCCCGAACGTAGCTCAAGAATCCACAAAAGAATATTTTAGAGAGCTTGACGCAAGTTCTCGAGAGGAGCATTGCGGATTTCCGTTTAGCACGAATCCGAGCGCAAGCCGCCGCGAGCTTATGTCGTATTTGCCGCCGAGGCAGTACTGTGATCGTTTAAAGGATGCATACTTTCGGGTGTTCTCCCCGGTAAGCTCTACGGCTTAAACGTTGTTGACTTTTTGGCTGACCTGTAACCCTGCAGTTGTTCCACGTTCTACATGATCCCACCTTCGAAGCGGAATACTCTCGTTTTCGGGAAGATGCCGCCTCAGCGTCATTATCTTGGCTAGCTCTACTCTTCGTCGTATTGGCAATAGCAGTGAATGGCCTTGACGAAAATGATTGCCTACTTCCTGATTTAGGGCGAGAATCTACTGCTGCCGCCAACATCAGGGTCCTGTCAGCCCGGTACAGGGCTGCTGCAATGCATTGTCTAGCGGCGGACGAAGTGATGTCGCGACACTCACTACATACTTTTCAAACTCTCGTGCTTCTGATATATGCCCTAACCCATAGCAGTCAACCCTGCTGGGTGCTTATTGGGATGACCCATCACGTTGCTATTGCCATGGGATGCCACCTAGACCCTGATCATTTCAACCTCGGAGTCGTTGAAGCGGAAAAACGACGCCGCTGTTGGGCCGCGCTTGTGATGTTACACATGACTCAAAAGATCTCATTCCGAAATCTTGATCAGCAGAAGCTCAGTCGAGACGTTCGTCTTCCAGCGGAAGCGAATGACACAGATCTTGTGGATGGGAGGCCACTGCCCTTGCCATCTGGTCCTACCCAGATGACATATCTGCTATTTAAATTCCGCATGTATGACATCGCCTACAAGATCTGCAGTGAAATCTTTGGACTTCAACAACCTTCTCACACCATGGTAAAGAAATTAGACGGCGAAATTTCTGCCCAGCAAGAGGCCTGGAACACAAGATACCTGGGCGATACAAAGGTCTATCCTCTCCCGAGCCACCACGTTGCGCATATGAATATTCTCTTTGGTTACTCCCATCAACTTTTCCTACTCCTACATCGCCCGGTGCTGAACCGTTATCTGACAGGCGAGATCAACGATGTCACCCGATCTTCACGCGATCGTTGCCTTGATTCTGCCAAAGGACTTTTAGCAATTCAAAAGACGCTGTCGGAGTCTCCTGAGTTCACGCCGTACAAGTGGTACACAGCCGGACTTGCGAGTTTTCATGCCTTCCATGCTGCTGTTGTCCTGGCAGTTATCATGATGAGTTCGAACAACAACACTGAAAACGAAGAGATTAGGAATATACTGATGAATTCATTGCAAGTCTTTAAGGTGCTGTCTTCAAGGAGCAGCCTCTGTGAAAAGGCTGTACCCATCCTTGGTCGTTTAATGTACGCTTGCCCCCATCTTCATCCTTTTGCCGTGCCGTGTGCCACCTGGCTGACCTTCTCTAGTAACCTTACTACCACCCGCCCAAATACCTCCCAACGTAGTCCATTGAAACTAGCCCAGACGCAGCACTGTTCCTATCCGTCCCCCTCTTCCACAGCAAGTACTTCCAGCAATGTTACACAGCTTCCTTCAGCCTCCGTCTTGCCAGACGCCCACCACTATCTGCATGAACAGCAGCAGTTGGCACACAGCCACACTCTTTCGCAGCCTCAATTGCAGGCCCAATCGCAGCCTCACTGTTCCCCATTCATCGACCCGCAGGCAGAAGCTGTTCATGCGCAATTGCAAGCGCAATACTGGCTTGGTCCGAGCGGAATATCATGGGAGACTTGGGGGTTTTTGGGGAACGAACACTTTACGTACACAGAAGGATCTGCTACCTGAAGTGGAGTAATCATGCTGTGCAACCTTCCACTTCTTTGTTTTCTTCGAGTGTAGGATGGATAGACTGTACACGGCTATCCATTGGTCGTCTTAATCAATTCAAGAACGTGGCCTCCCTTCGGCCTAGTCGGGCAGTTTTTATCCCATTTACGGGCTTTCATGATCTACTTTTGATGAGTCCATGAAGGGATGACAATATACTTGAGTCCTGCCCTTTGAGAATAAGAAAAATGCTGTCGCTCGGGCGCAGCTGGAATATACATATCTGTCAACACGAATACAAACGGAATCTGGTCACACGTCAAGCGCACGCCTGCGATCAAACCACACCGTACACTGAAGGAAAAGCTGTGACTGTTATCCTCCAGAGTCTGTGTGTTGGGATTCTATTACGCGGTCGCGATTTCAAATAACAAGCCCATCATCAACAAGCCTAACACGTCGATCGATAAGCGAAACTGTTTTTTAATAACGGAATGCGCCCAGTATCTTATGCTGCCGTATCTCAAGCATGGGTTCATAATCCTCTATACGTTTGAATACATACCAGGACCTATTGAGCAAGGTCTCAGCAACATTGAGTTCCGACTCTCGAGTCCGCCGATGCTTGTTGAAGGCTTCTAAACAAATTGATGTTTTGGACTAAAAGACCGATCAGGAGGTTACGTCAATTATATAAGATTCAAAAGGTCTATCCCAAAATTGATACCTATACCATGACTGTTTCCCACCATCGCTAGAGCATAAAACCGCAGACAGGACATTAAGAGCAAGTCATCAATCATAACATTCATGGAAAGAGTCATCAAAAGCATAAGATAATAGCCACCCACATTGAACCGTCCGTAAACAATTATCAATGCAAATTTAACAACTAGTTATGGTAAACAAAACAAAGAAAAGGAGGATAACGAGTGAGTAAACATCGGAGAAACTGTTCCTGTACAACCAAGGCCAAGGGAACAGGCGCAAACAGCTCGAGGTACTACCACCAGGTCGTCGATACCGGTTGTCCTCTTGAGTCAAAGCGGTCGGGCAAATCAACGGTACTATCAGAATCTGAATTATGGTTCCCTGATGGCCTAACCGGAACTTGAAATTGGCTTTCTCGTTTCGAAGCAACAGGGGAGGGAGTCCGCGAATGAGAAGGTTGATGTCTAGGATGTCGGCGAGTGTCATGATGGCGCGAACGGTTATACCCGTCAATAGTAGAGTCACTATCATCTGTTTCGTACCCTTTTTCAGTGTAAGAGTCGGCGGAAGCATAATCAGGTTGAAGATTGAATTGAACTGTCTTTGCAGCCGGTTGGCTTGAAGACCTAGGACGACTTTCATGGGTTGCGCCTTCTGGATGTGACGACTGTCTCTTTGTAGGAAATGGGTGGCTGCTTCGCTGGCTAAACAAGTCACGATAATTCACACCTACGAGTAAACACGTTAGTAAGCCCAATACAGCGCATTATGCTCCCTGAACCCACCCTCATATTCATCTTGGTGCTGTTCAATAGGGAGGGTGGATTGCGGCACAGCACTCACATTCTCATCACCTCGAGGTTGCCGAGGCGCATAAGGGTCCTGTGCAGTTGGAGGAGCATAGTGATAGTGTTGAGGAGGTGGAGGTGCACCCGGAGGCGGGGGGTAATCGGCCGGGGTTATATGGGACTTGATTTGGCGGCGGCATTGATGAAGGCCTAAGAGGCGGCGGATAATCAGAAGAGCGGTATGGCTGAGTGTTAAGCGTAGTTGTAGAGGTAGGTGGCGGCGGGAATTGATTTGTCTGCGGGTAGTAATGATCGTGAGGGTACGAGGTAGCACTTGGTGGAGGAGGGGAGGGTGGGTAAGGGGCCGCAGAGTCATATGTATCATCGTACATATCACCGGCCTGCTCTTCCTCTTCCTCTTGTTCATGCCCTACAAACGCAGAATGTGTGAGTAATATTCGAGGTTTACACAAGGTATTTCAATCAAATCCAAAGTAAATAAGAAAATAGGGAAAAAGTACCTACTCGATCCCTCTCATTCTTTTTCCGCTCTTTTCTTTGTTTATATTCATGTGCGGCAATCCCTGCTGCACCAGCAGCAGCGAGTCCAGCCGTTGCAAGGTCTCGAGATCGACTCCTCCCGCTACGTTTGCTGCGACGATGTTTCCTGCTTTCACGATCAGAAGACGACCAGCTCTCCGTCGATGGGCTACGGCGCCGGCTGCGACTGCTGCGACTATGCCTTCGAGCAACATAGTGTGGGCTTTCCGGCCGGCCGTAGTAGTCGCTTGCTGGAATACGCCCGTAGACTGGGTCCTCTCCGTACTCAATCAAGTGTGTAGGGACACCGGCAGGCGCATCCGGGTATGAGCGTGCTCTGCTTTTAGATCGTGATCGACTACGCGCACGGCGTGCTTCTTTCTCTTTGTTTTCTTCCTTTTTGGCCTTGGTTTTCTCATACATAGCCGCAATCGCAGCGCTGCCTAAGCCAGCTGCAGCGATGGGGATTCCTGTTCGTATCCGACTGCGCGAGCGGCCTTTCCTTGATCGGGATTTGCTGCGTGCGTGTTCAATCAGCCCAGCAACGGCGGCTCCTGCAAGTCCTGCTTCCGCCATCCGTTTGTTGCGATGTTCTGGGTCCCGCGCATCTGAACTCGAAGAAGTGGATGAGGAACGGCGGCGGCGCGATCGACTCCGGCGAGTCGACGATTTTTCTCTCTTCTCATTCTTCTCAGAATGCTTCTTTGCTAGCGCAACGGCTCCGGCAATGGCAGCAGCCCCCAATCCAAGCCCGGCAAGTGTGCGCGCCCGGGAGCGCGAAGATGAGGAGGACCGACTACCTCCCTTGTGGTATCGCCGATGGTGATACCGATAGCGATGACGATGGTAGTCTCTTCCCCGGTCAAGCGATTCACAACGACGGCGACTTTTGCTTCGAGGGCGGCTCTTGCTCCGATGACGACTTCGCGCCCTCACGATGGCATCTGCAGCAAGAACACCGAGTGTTCCCGCGCCGACATCTTTACCCAGCCGGGCAATAGTGCTTCCTTGACCTTTGTCGGATTTCTTGCTCTGATGTCGGATCAATTCAGCAGCACCGACACCAACGAGAGCGCCTTCAGCAAGATGCCGTCGATAGTGGTGGGGACTTTCCTCGCGATCATTTCGACGGACGTAAACTAGATCTTCATCGCTACTACACCTTCGCCTCCGTGAGCGGCGACCGGGGCTTTCAGTCCTGTAGCTCCTCACTTCATACTCTGGGTACTGGTGTCCATGGTCATATTCACGAACCCGTCTGTGGTAGTAGTAATCGTCTTCCCTAGGCTCATGCCGGACCATCATCCGATCGTCCATCGCCTCAGAACGATGGATGATCTGATAGTCTGAGTCCGACCTGGGAGAATAGCTGGAGTAATTGGAACCCCGATAGACCGCTGGAACGTTCATGATTGTCAGTAAAACTCTGCTATCAGGGCAAAGGATGACGGAAGGGAAAGGGGGTGGGTGAAGGGAGGGTATAAAGGGCAGATGGGACCCACGGTCAAAGTCAGTATCCAAGCTATATTCGTAATCATAGTATCGAGGCATGGTTTCCCGGTCTTCCCGGTCCAATGTGCGCACTGCCAGTTGACGCTGGCTGGGATGAGAGCTGGCGGAATGCTCGTCTGGAATGACGTAACGTTTGATCGTAGTATAGCTCGTTCGAGGATCGGAGTGGCGAGACAATTCGTCCCAATCACGATCCCGCTCTCGGTGGTTGAAACTCATCTATGCTGATTAACAGGAGGCAGACTTGGACAAGGCGGGGTGGAGGAGAAAAGAGGAGACAGGACAAGGCTCAATTGAGAGGGTCACTTGAGACGTGCCGGAAGAGGTTCTAGATAAAAGCAAGAGACTTTTTGGGGATACGGACAAGGCTGAAGACAAGAGTTGATGTGTGTGAGAGAGAGAGAAGAGATGTCGAAGCGGGGAGGATGAGAAGTTGGAAGATGAGAAGAAGGGAGGGGCCACATCAACTGGTTTGGGTATCGTATGGACAGTCACAATACTGCAGCAGCAAGCGGGAAATCAAAGGAACAGCAGCCGTCAAGACAGCGTAAGTACGTCTCCGAGACGGACACAATACGCTGCCACGAGGCTCTTCGCGGCTGTGCGCATAAGACGGATCCCAGCAGAGAGGACGAGAGTCACACAGAGAAGCACCGTCACGGACTCGAGGGGAGGAGAGGAGAGCAAAACAGCACTCACTCGCATCTTCAACACACGCCAACCACCCGCAATGACGATGGCCAAGGACTGGCGATCCCACGTCGAAAGTTCTTCGAATCCACCGGCTCCAGCTCGGAAGAATGAGTCAAGAATGAGAACTGCCGCGGAGATGGGAGGAGGATAACTAGTTAGCTTGAAGGAATCGGAGACCTCCGCGATGGATGCTTCTGATTGTTTGGTGCGAGTGAGGGTCGACGGGATTCTGAAATGCTGAAATCGCAAAGGCGACCGCAGAGGGGATGGACGGCATCACTATATACCCTCGTCCTGCTGAAAAATCAGGCAGGCCATTTCTCGAAACAGACGCCTGGTTTTTCCAGATGGGCGGCATCAGCTCGCCAACCAGGCGTTGAGATCTGCAAGAGATTCACCCTCCATCCAGAGCTCGTTCTTCTCGAGGCGTTCTGTGACTGTCAGAGCCCAGCCTCACGCCCGGCTCCCGCCCGGCTCCCGCCGTCACCATTCGCCCCCAGCCAATAATGGTGTGCATCTGGCCTGTCTGCTTCGAGCATTGCGTCGATGAATGAGACTGGATTGGCCCTTTGATCTTCGAATTCGGCCCGGCCAAAACTCCTCTGCATTAGTTTCTCGAGCCGCAGCACCTCTCGCTTTTCGACAAGCGCCCTGTTTCGCATCACTGTACGGAGTACTTTTCGTTGGAACGACTTGACTGATGTTGAGATAGGCTCATGATCGTTTTTGGATGACCTGCGGCTCTGTACCATGGTTGGTTCAAAAAGGACTCCGCGTTCCAAGAACCAGACATCAGTCATTTAAGCGCTTTGATCTTGTGCTGCCACCAGCCCTGGACCATCTCAGGAAAAGAACACTGCATATAAAACGGAACCAATGCAGGCTTTGTCACTCTGTGTTCCTTGAAGCCGGACATTGGGTTTCTATTGGTAAATGAGGCGCCCGTAAGCAAGGGCGTCGTATCACATCCCAGGCGACACAATTTTGAGTCGACATCCTCTCTGTCCTATTATTATCGGTGACTGTTTTCTTGCACTTGAATCGCAGATCGACCTGAATTTGATTGTGCTCAATGGGATCCAATGGTCGTATGCGATTTCCCCGTTTGTGGATGACTTTGAAAAGCCATGGCTAAAGCAGTGGCCAACGTCGATGGGAATTTGAGGGAGCAGGGACCCTTTCTGACTCGGCCTCAGCCTGGCTGGCCAACTCCCACACTTCCCCAGGATCGTACATTTACCCCGGATGGCTTCTAGGCGCGACCAAAGCTTCGGATAGGTCGAGCACAGCCCCAAAGCCCTGCCTTACAAAAAAGCCTATGGAGGTGCTCCTGATCCTCCATTCAAGAATCCGTCCCTGATACTTGATAACTCGAGCCTTTTTTCGGTGATCCTAATTTAGAAGTTTCAAAAGATGATACTGGGATTGCCATCGCGGGTACTATTTATCTATCGCCTCATCCCACACTCCGGTTATTTTTGCTAGCAGCTAGTTAATAACTAGTTGGTTCCAAAAGACCTCAACTTCCAGTAAAGGGGTTACGAAGGATGCAGATGCAATCCAGCTGCGAACCATTTAATATTGAAATATCTAGAGGAGCATGCTAAAAACCCAACTGTGAAATGATTCAATGGCAGCATGTGGTTTAGGGAATGGGTTGGAGACCCTGCTCGGGCGTGATTGATTTACTTTCGCAGCAGAGATGGCATAAATGATAAAATCGAGAGCATACCATTTATATATCCTTGGTCATGGGCATAGAGGTGTTATGTACACTGTTTCCATGCTATTTCTCTTTTCCTATAATAGACGGCTTTTGCAACATTATTGTTCTAACCTGTAGTTAGAAAACAAGTGTAAATCATCTTAAACCAATCCGAGCCTTGTTAGATTGCATCAAGTAAATTTACTCTGCGCCTCAGTTTAGCCCCCAAAATAGGAAAATTCCCGGACCATATCGTTCCTCGTTGCGTCCTTCAGGGCCGGCATCAACGGGATCTTCGCAGCAGAGGTCCTTGTGGAATTCGCTTAATATATCAGCCATTTTGCTAATGATTCGCCAATAGTTGTTTCTTCTCATCTCTGGCCTTTCTCCCCATCTCTCGTCCTCCCTACCTCCTCGGTTATCGGAGTCTGAGCTAGATTCACTTATAGCATCTTAGGTTTCGCATGAGAGTCATAGCCGATTTTTCGGAACGATCGGGGCCTCTAAGAGGCCGTGAAAATTGTGGCTCTGGCTCCGGTCCCGCGCCACTAGGACCCATCATCGCCACGATCGGTCTCGTAAACGACATCGCACTCGTCGTCGAAGACTTCGCTATCGGGGACGAGGATCGGGGATTTCGGACGTTCGACACACTAGGTATTCCGACGCTTCTTCCTTTCGGAACGGGGCGATACTGCACGAGGATGCTAGGCAAACCCGAGGACAGGATGGTTCAGGAAAAGAGCACTGGCCTATTTGTTCAACTCCAATGTAGCAGCTAGCTTCAGGAAGGAAGCCAGCTCCTTAGGCAACGGGCTTTTTTATCCTAGCATTATCCCCTTTTTGGGACTGGTCTAACACCACAATGGTGGAGTTCATTTTTCTTTTAAGAAATGGGAAAGAGAGGGGAAAAATGGCCTTGTTGTCGACGCCATTTTCTGGCAAGCCCCCTCCAATCGGCAGCTTTATCTCCCATATCAATCCCCATGGAAGTGAAGTGGAAAATCTTTCTTATAGGAGAATTATAAGGGCGTATAAAGAAGAATCCTTCTTCATGGTGTTCGCAAATTCAGTACAGTCTGCTCGCTGAGATGCTGTACTGAAGTAAATAGGACAAATTGGTTTTCTGTTAAGAGCTCTTCAATGCTCTATGTTGTTTTGTAGTCTGGTATCTGACTGAGGTAGGCACCAACAGTCCAGACAAAACTTTCTATTTGTCTGGTAATTCTTTGGACATTGAAAAAAGGTCAATATCACCCCTGCTTCAGTTTAGGAGGACGGCAGGCGCGTACACGATCGGACAAGTTTCTCAAAGGATACTTGTTGATGGTAGCAACTTGGATAATAACTCTGCTGTTCTGTCAGTATGCAATTCATATGGCTTGCATGGAGTCTTCCTGATACCTTGAGTAATTAGTATTTTGCTCAGCATTTCTTCCCCAGCAGAGTCTAATTCACTCTCCATCATTGTGCTGTGCGTCTTTCCATGTTCAGGCTCTGAGAGTAAAGGAAAAATATAGGTTACTATAAAGTCCGGGGTGACTCTTATCAATATCAAACTTGTTGGTGAAATCCCATAGTCAGCCTAAACTATGCCAAACCCAAGTCAGTAGAATCCAGCTCACCCACCTAGCAATAATGGAGTTTCCCTAATATTTATAGTAAAAGGCCTGGCACAAATCCCATTCTATAGTGTTGTTGACAGTATGACATATGTTAGATGGTTTTTATCTTTGCTTGATTCTCTATGTTAATGTGAGAGGGGCTCAAGACAGAGCTAGGTTAGAAGAAGCAAAAGGCTATAGAGAGGCAGAAGGCAGTTTTGGGTATTCTTTCTAGATTTTAATTGAAATTTGGCACTGTTTCACTCAAATCAGCAAGCTTGATGAGATCAAGTAGCCTGTGGATTGCAGTTCAGTGCACCACTAATATGGGTGAGGCTCTGGTGGTCAGCAGCCCTCTGAAAGGAAGTGGTCAGAAAAAAAAACTAACAACAAATCAGTGACTTGAAGCTCATTTAAAGCAAAGGAAATGAAGGTGTTGAAGGAAGCAGCAAAAGGCAGATACCTAATGTATGACTAGGCTGTTCTATGAACCATCTTGCCAAATCACACAGTTCTTATGAGCATCAAGTCATTTTTTTCACAAGGATATCTTCGAGATGTTGCGGTTTAAATCAACAGTATGACTTTAAGGGAAGGTAAAGGGGGTAGCTCGGGAGTAGATCTCAGCTCTCCTCTATTGGTTTTTGATGAGTACCAAAGTCAAGCATCCAAATTGGGATAGATATCAAATCGATTGAATTTTGCAGATAGTATATTGTCCGCAATTATGCGCTCAGTTTGTGGTGCAATTTCGAAAGTAATCTATGCGGTCATACGCAGTAATGCAGCAAGTAGAACACATGGGGGAGTATTGAAATGCAATTTTGCTTCCGGTTCATGGGTGAAGAGAAGGAGAAAGAACAAAGAGAATCTTGGCTGTCAGTCATACAGCCATCATTAAGCAGGCTAGTCAGTTGAAACTGATATAGTAGATGGTCGGCGACGTATTTCCGTGTGAGGCTGACCTTGCCCGGGTTGACGGCTAAGTTGCACCCAATGAGTAAGAAGCTCATTATAATATGACTTGATACCCTATCTCATCACCCTGTGTAGGAGCTTACAATTTTGCGATATTTGGTTCGAGTGGGATGTGACATTCTTCAGGGGGACAACATTTCTCCAGTTGGATAGATTTGCTTTTACCTCGTTCTCAGGGCAGGAGCATAGTGAGACAGCGAGTGAGAATAAAATGAGAGAATGCGAACACGATCCTCAAAATGCTATGCAGCAATTGAGAGTAATGGTATCATTCTAATCTCAGAGGGGATTTAGCTGAAATAGGATCAGCTTCGTCCTCAGGTGAATTCACAACTCCATTGTAACACGGGAGTGCCCGGAACAGTGCAAACGAGACAAGCAGAATTCCTCAAAAGGCCTTTTCCGTGATTTTGGAGCCCTCCACCGTTTCCGCCGCGGCAAACATCCTCAGCTCTAACTTAACACCTCGCTTGAGATGAGCTGTCTGCAGTGGCCAGGGTTAGATCCCAGACGTCATGATTTGTAAAAGCTTGCCGTTCATTTGCTCGCCAAGGGCTTAACCAGATGGGCATGGTCAATGGCTGCGAACTCCGGGGCGCTTTTCAGCGGAAGACGAAGAAATAATCTTTCGACAAAGAATAATAGTAGTGGCCTTTATGGTGGAATTCTCTCTTAAATTCGGGGGTAGCCGATGGTCCGAGTCTTCCGAGACCTGGGCGGGTTCGAGATGTCGGTCAGACACCTTGTGTCTCCAAAGGCAGCATGGATGCGAGGACCAGAGCAATATTAACAGCTCGAAAGATCAGGAGGAGATGAGACAAAACACCATTCTCGAGTGCCCATCCTGGAATGGCATGATGAGAGTCGTCGTCATAGCAGCCTTCGAGGAGAATCGAACTGCTCGTCTGGAGATGGATCAACCAGGCGAGTCTAGATGGCTGGGCAAGGCGTTCTGGACCCAGCGACAAGGACGAACTCAACGGCGATTCTCGCGGTGACGATGCGGAGAGTCGGGCACCAGCGTGAGAAGAGACAGAAAAGCCTGCAACGATCCCTGCTGAAGACGGTGACATCTGGGAAAGTTGGAAAGGTTGCTCCCATTAGGGCCTCAACTCAGTTGCGGAGTGACAGCAGCATCTCTTTATTCTTCTTCCAGTAAATCCTGGCATTTCAAGCGCTGGTTTCAGCAGCAATTTGGATGAGTGTGGACACAGAGTAGGAGTACCTGGCTGTACCTGTGCTCCCTCATCAATGGCGGTCTGTATGCGTAATTGCTTGTATGTTACCGCCAAGGTTCCTGCTTGGCGAATTAACAAAGAACCAATAGCGTCCCAGTGATCAAAATAAACTCCACAATTGCCAGTATTCCTATAATCTGATTGGCAATCAAAGATATAATTTTCGTACTGATACTCCTGCGTATGGTCACAATACCGTCTCAACCAAGGCCGGCAAGTTCCCCCAAGTCACTCGCTCGATGATGAAAGCGACCGCCACCAGTCGACTCGCCTCAACAACCAGCGTCGTTCGTCCTCTTCATCCTCGTCTCCCAGTCTTCCATCTGCCGCAATCACTCTTCAACCCCTCCTCTGACCGCAAGAGTGATATCCTCTTCTCGCATTCTTTGGTCAATCCGTTTGTCCCGGTTCCATCGTCAAGCCTGTGAGCTTCTTTCCGCGGGCGATCCCCTTTCGCAACCGCCGTCCCGCACAAAATAGCTCGATCCCTGGTGCTTCCGCCGCTTCACTTCTTATAACGAGCGTTTTTTTCGCCAGGACCGTGGCATCGTTGCTGTCGGATCTCTGCAGTCTTTGACGTGGGCCGCCCTTATTGGTCTCATCGACGCTAACGGCCAATCCACACCACCCCAGCAGTGCCATCACCGCCAACCGACGCAACCGCTGGAGGACGAGGCAGGACAGACAAGCACCCAGCAGGATCAGAGTTGACGGAACACCAGGAACGTGGCGCTTGTCTCCCGACGGTTTTCGAGCCTGCCCCAGCTCATCCACCAATCCCGCATCGGCCTGCCCACCGACTCGTCTGCCCAACTGCCCCCAACGGCCATCTGCGACCCAGATCATGCAGCTCCGATGATGTGGTCAACGTCCGTTCAACAAGAATAACAACAAACAAACAACGATTTTTCTTTCCTCTCCGGCATCCTGGCTTCTGCTTGACGATCCTTCTCGGTATTGGACATCACACCAACTCTAAAACAGCAAGATTTGAAATCTCTTTGGTCTCCCTTCCATTTCAGTGAATCTCAGCATGGAATGCCTTGGCTATTGGCCCTGACATTGGAGAATTTGCATACCATTCACTGGGTGAACTGCAGGCGGGTCCCTGCGTGCGTGAATCGCCCTCCCGGATTCGATATTTCATTCCAACCATCGTACCGAATCACCTCACTCCTTCTACCGACCGACTCGCTTCGTATCCCGCTATCATGTCGTTAGGAAATAGGGATAGCGTACCGAACCCAGACTGGGACATGCCTTCCGCTGTCATTTCTCGGAATGGGAAGCGCGGACCGAATTCTCACGCTTCCCCCTCCACGCGTGACGCGAAATCCAACGGTACAACACAGTCCTCGAAGCACCTTGCCACTGGTCGACCCGTTCCGTTGTCATCCACAAGCTCCGTGCCTTCGTCGAGAGAGACCTCTCCCTATCGACCGCCACGCAGGCCCGTAAATTCCATATCATCGTCAAGGTCTCGCAAGAATAGCCAAGAATCAGGCCAAAGCCGAACATCAAGCACTACATCCATCGGCCGTACCTCGATCCCGATTATTCTCGACTTGCAAGGCAACCCCGTCGATTCGAATCAGGCGCATTTTCCGCCGCCTTCTACAGATGAATCAACAGATTTATCCCAGCCTGAAAAGTCTAATATGCCTACAAAATCGGGGGATCCTCCTTTACAATGGCCAAGATTGAATAGATTAAAGTCCCCGCCGCCAAATCTATCTCCTCGAGCCCCTTTGCAACGTACCACATCCCCCAGACGCACAGAGCACGATGGTTTTCCCGCAAACACCTCAAGCAAAAGGCATCCTGTGGGAACTGAAGATTTGTTGCTGTCACCGGGATAGATGTGTTGAGACCTCTGACTCTCAGCTCCAAAGTCCTAACCGCGGGTTGGGTCGAGGAGCAGCCCCTGCTCTTGAAACCGTCCAGGAGGGAAGCGTCCCGACTCTCACTAGCGAAAGCTCGGGAGAGACTGTTAAAAATCCAAAATATGCTGGCGACAGTGGTAGTGATAGTCCTGGAAATAAAAGCGCTGGGTCGAAGATTGAGAGCAAACAAATGTTGACACCTGCAAATCCAAAATCGGACGAGGTTATCGCGAAGCGTTCCTTTACCTCACTAAGCTCTGCGCGGGGCAAAATCGGGGAAACTTCCATGACAAACATGACCGTAGAAACAGAAACTGTTAGTTCGATACCTCAAGTCTCGTTGGTTGGAGGGGCTGGCGAACGGGGGAGTAGGAAGGATCCCAGTGCAACGATTCGCTTACGGGCCAGTGATGAGACCATCCGGCCGAAAAAGGAGAAGAAGAAAACGCGCAAGCCTACTGTGCCAATTGGAACGGGTAAGGTTTTGATGATATATGATATAAACTTTGGGCATAGCAGTAGAGCTAACCCTGTCGTTTAGTGTCATCAAAAGCGGATAACTTTGAGGCCAAAGTCGCTAGTGCTGTCGATGATGCCGATTCATCTGATTCCGCAGAGACCTTTGTCTACGAGTCCAACCCGCCAGACCCTCACCCATCGCGGCAACATCGATATCATTCACGGACGCCAAGTGCGGCATCCATGGTTGGTCAATTTGATCAATACGGGAACCGCTTGCGACCTGGTGTCAGAGATGCTCTACATGGTATCACCGGAAAACGAAGCATGAAATTCACCAACACTTCTTCCTACAACACAATGGACGGCGAAGGTGAAGATCGCTCGGCTGGTAGAGGCAGTGCACGGGGAAATGGACACATGCATACAGCTCGCCATTATCATATTGGGCGGAATGGAAGGGGCGGTGCCCATCAGCCTGTGTTGGATCAATCGCCTTTTCAGTCATCTCAGAGCTCTAAAGTGCCCCGACATTTTCTTGGCAATGGCCACAGTCGAAATCTGAAGAGAGACGGAGATACATATGGGTATGACTTCGACGCCGAAGGTGCTGATGACGAACGGACCCCTCTAGTTGGAGCAATTCGAGGTATTCGCGGCCGTAACCGACGGCCGAACAGCTCCAGCCTGAGACAGATGGAGTATTTCGGAAGCCGACGAATTGGATTCTGTGCGCGATATGGTATATGTGCGTTACTTTTGATGCTGCTGCTCGTCCTCACTGGTGGATCGACCGTATTCATCATTGGGGCCACACAGTCTCTTAAAAACGTGCATGTCCGAGAAATTCAAAACGTTCTAGCTTCGGAACAAACAATAATGCTTGACCTGGACATTGAAGCCGTTAACCCCAATTTATTCGCGCTCACGATTAGTGACATGGATGTGAATATCTTTGCAAAGAGTAGGTACGTTGGTACTGATGCGTTTTGGAGAGATCGAGGGCCCCACCCAAAGGAGCTGCCTCGAACTAAGGACAGCAAAAAACGTGCAATTATGGCGAGAACGGTGAACAGCGGTGCTCGCGACCGGGAGTCCGAAATTTTGAGCCCACGCCCGACGTTCAATGCCACCGGTGGTGTCGACAAGGGAACAGATCCTATTCCGGACGACGACCTCAGCGGAGATCCACAAACCATGCTACTAGGCCGGATATTCCATTTCGCATCACCCCTGACCTTTGAGCCTTCACCCTGGAAGCACATCGCATCCAACTCAACCGGCCAGGTACGATTGACGAAACCAGGGAACAAAACGGAGGAAGGAGGATCTCTAAGATGGGAGCGTGTTCTCCAGCATCCGTTTGAATTAATCGTCCGCGGAGTCGTCAAGTACCAGTTGCCAATGAGTTCTGGCATGAAATCAGCCTCCATAAGCTCCAAAATCAACGTTCTACCAGACGACGGCGACAAAGATGGCAATGGCGGTGATCATGGAAATGATGATGAAGTTCCAAGTGACTCGGTTCACATCGAATAACCATCAATACGCCCGTCATCCACTGCCTTGTCGCTGGTATCAAGAAGCCTCATCACCACCTTTCTTGGTTCACTTGGATCTGATTTGCATTGCGTCCAGTTTCGGCTAAAGTTCCCGCCTTTATACCCTTTACCACATTTTACTTCATTTACCTTGGATACGCTGACGTCCTTCTTCCTTGACCGATTTTTCCCTTCTCTTATAACTTTTTCGAAATGGCGCAAACGTGGAGCATAGCGGTTCCTTTCTCCACCGACATCTATAAACGCTGGGCATTTAATTGACACGCTTTTCTTGTTTTTTAGCGGCACCTGTGTTTATATTTTGGATTTTCCTATCTTTTACCCTTTTTAATGTCGCCTCCTCCCATTTGATCCTATCTTTCCGAAACAATCCAACAGAGGAATCGAAAGGGGTTAGAGGAGAAAAAAAGCCCTCGATCAATACGTTTACTACTTCCCTCTCCAGTTGGGGAGTTGACTCTTCTTTTTAACGAAACGCGATGCAATATGCAAATTACCACAGATTATATAGACGGCAAAAGGCAACGATTGGAATTCAGGGCCAGGACGGGCAAAGCGGGATGCGTTGTTTGGCGCAAGGGATTATGGCAGATTCTTTTCCTTGTTTTTGCTCTTCTTTTTAGGGCTTGTCTTCTTTTTTGGATTTTTCTTTTATTGTTACATTATTCCATGATATGTTTCTTGGGGGCACAGGATTTTGCCTTTCTTTACTTGTATCTCATTTATTATACCCCCCCTTTTATTTCCTATTTGTTATGCCTTATCTATTGAGGACTTACACAGTCAGGTCTAGTCGCTCCTTTTTGCCCTAGATACTCCGTATGTAATAACGAATTTCCTTTGTATGTCGAAAAACTTGAAAGGACAAAAAAAAACTAAATTTTTCAATGTGAGCTAGAGGCCTCAGAGTGAGCATTTGTCTATTTGACAGTAGATTGGGAGAATGGCATGAAGGGCCTCACAGCACCGCATCCTTTTGAGCTTCACACCGAGCCATTTGACTATACACTGATGGTTCCAAGCGCCTGAAAACTGAGCATTCTTTTTATGTGACTTTCTCAAGAAAAGTGTGGATGCCTCCCAGTTGTTGGGTGTCTACTCCAGACTCTCAATGATATCACCGGCATCTTCGGCTAGTAGTCACTCATAGTAGACAATAATACCCTTTCAAGAAACCTACACAAGACCCGACTGTAGGCAAACACTTCATTCGGGTGTATGTATGCGTATGTACACATGTATGCATGGGATGAGGTATGTACAGTACATGGCTTTTCTGGCATAGGTGAAAGCAAGAAATCCAAATGATGCGAAAAACGACGGAAGCTAGAGAAACCAAGAAAGAAAGTCAAGTCACAGGCCGCCCCAAATCCAAACACCTCTTGTTGGGAATATCAAGAAAATCACACATATATATAATAAGAGGATATAGTTACCAACCCAGTTATGAGAGGCCGTCAAGACAATCAGCAGGGTTCGCATAATTCATGTATATAAACAGACCAGAAATCAACAGAGAAAAACGAGCATCCAAAACCAACCGTACAATCACACAATCCTGTATACTCGCTTGGCGACGTAGAAGCAAACAACGGCAAAGACCACAAGGCCAGCAGAAACTAGGAAAATAGCATGTTAATATGTAAAACTATGAATGTGTCACAGTCAGGCCAAAGAGAAACAGGCTGTACGTACTGCTCATAAACCAATTGAGATTATCAATATCCTGACCCGGAACCTTGACGTTCATTCCCCACATGCCACAGATGATGTTCATAGGGAGGACAATGGTTCCCAAAACAGTGAGTTTGCCAAGTACGTCAGCAGTCTGTTCCTGTCGTTCGTTCATACGGATATTTATCTGAGCCAGATAGTTCGAGTGCGCTCGTGAGAGTAAGCTACAAACCTCTTAGTTAGTTGAACTAAGGAATGAAAATGGGTATGATCCATACGTCTCATAGTGGGTCAAATTCCCCGTCATTGTTAGGATATGGTCCTGAATGTCACCAAGATATAGACCGATTTCCGACTTTGGGGCAACTTGCCATTGCTCGTTGCAGCGTTTGGCAAAGCCTTTGATTACATCTGCTTTATTGCCTAGAAGCCGATACAGACCCATTACCTTTTTGCGACATTCACCAACACGACGAAGCATGTCAGACCCCGAAATAGCCGCGTCCGAGGGAGATGTGTCACTAAACTCCTTTGAGTCGGAATGCATCCGTAGAATTGTATCGTCAATATCGTCAACTTCGTCCTCAATAGAATGGATCAGGGGACCAAAGACATCAGTAATATCGTCAATGATAGCATAAGAGATCCAGTCAGAATTGAGAATTAGATAGTCCTTGAGCTGTCGTATCCTCCGTCGTACATTGGCAGGATGAGGCGTTTGCGAAAAATGGAAACTCAGCAGGCCTTCCCGGAATACGATGACATACATATTCACAGGCTCGAGGAAATCTTCACTGTTGATGTCCTGCTCAAAGGTCCGGTAGTTAATGAAGTAATAGTGACGAAAAAGTTCCACTTTCTCACGGGCTTCCTGCATCATTATGTCTTCTGCTGTCAAGGCATGTATGCCAAACGCTTTGGCAATGGTACGCATTTCAGCATCAGTGGGACTCAGAACATCCAGCCAAAACGTTGGGCGAGGCCCATACCGTTTCTCCTTCTTCCCCGAGGGAGATTGGGGCCTGTGATTGGGGCTGACTTCTCGGGAACCAGCCACAGCGCTATCTTGGTCGCTTCTGCTATTATAGCCGGGCATCGACGAAGAATTTGTTCTAGTTCCATTCAAGGCGAATAGCGGAAACTCATCTTCCTCCTCTTCTTCATCTGATTCCAACTCTGGAGGATCGGGGATGAACAGATCCTTAAAAGTCTGACCGGATTGTGCAAGCTCAGAAATAGTTTGGCTATGAATAGTGCTCTGAAACTCTTCGTTGAAATACGTGAATCTATACGGCGCTTCGTCTTCCTCGCGTCTCCAGGGGGTATTTCGAATGCGTAGTCTGCCACCGACAAGAACAGGCTCACTGATCTTTTTCGTCCGAATGCCCTCCGTTCGTTCTTCCTTCTCTTCCCGGCTCCACTCCTCCAAGACTGAAAGGTCAGGCCAAACCCTCCTCCTGCGCCGTCGAGGTTCCGCCGAATAGCCTTCTATCGGTGGGTGCGCAGTAAACTCCTCTTCGCCGAGATCAGACAATGCACCTGTGGGGAAAGCATACGTCGTCTTCGACGGGAAGAGTAACAGTTCGACGACGCTTAAGCTCTTGAGGGGAGATCGTGGGTGATAGTGGAGCAGATCCTGTTTGATCAACCTTGCCAGCACCATCCATATCAATGATCACATCGCGCGGTACGGCAGACGTGCTTCTAGTTTCCGGGGATTTTGAACGGCCAAAATCTCTTCCAGTGATGAGTGAATCGTCATACCCAAACTCTGGACCAACTTTTGGGCTTCCGGGTACAGAAGGGGGGTTATTGACGTCGTAGTTTTTCCTAAATTCATATTCCTCACCGATAGAGTGAGGTTCTGAGCGAATGCTACGACCAGAAGATCGCCTCGAATATCGTGGGTTGTCTCGATTGTCTGCTCCATACCGGACAAAGTTTGTATTGTGCAAAGAGTTGGGCCTGATAAGAGGAGTCCGGTCATCTGCTTCGTCTGATTCACCTTCACTCTCTTCTGACGACTTGATAGCCGTTCGAAGTGTCGTAGTAGGACGAGGGCGATTTTCCGCCGAAGCGAATGACGATTGAGGAGGATAATCGGGTCGGAAGCTCTGGGCTAGTCTACTATCATGGCGGGGACGCAGCATCGGTTGATTTCTATAAAATCCAGCATACCGTATTAGCTCTCAACTACTTAACACGAGCTTAGTCCTGATAGATATATGAGCCATACCTGTGATCCAGCAATGCTTCACTATCCAAGCTGGTCTCACTAGAGTTAATCCCGCCTATCTGGCCCAGCCGGTAGAATGATGCCCGACGTGCAGCTTCCGGCGATTTTGGGGCGTTACTTTCGCCCTCTTCAGGTATTCTGTCTACCGCTCGATCAGGGGAATCTGCATGCGGAGTTTCAACGGTCGCCGGAGCGAATGAAGGCCGGCGAGGACGTCGCTTCTTGTGGCCTCGATGCCGCCGCTTCTTGCCATGCTTATTGCTGGGGCCCTGAGGGCCAATCTGAGTCTCCGGAAATGGCGAAACTGGATGCGGGCTGCCCTGGTAGGTCCCTGGCCTCTCGCGACTGGGGTTGGGCGAGCTTCCCCCCGCCGTTGGAGGGGCTGAGGTATTGCTGTTGGACATTATGGGGGGAAGAACTCAAGGAAGCGGATGTGGCAGGTGACCATAGGTACTGACATGAATCAAATGGCGTCTAGAACCGGCAGGCTGGAGGAGCTGGTGGACGTTGCTGGTTGATGGAGGACCGCTCAGAGTGCGAGGAGAGCAGACCGGCTCAATGACGTTGTGTGGCTTGGGGTTCCTGGGCCAAAGTGTGTTTTGTGTGCGAAAAAGCCAACACAGACAGCCGGCAGAACACACTGCGCTGTAATCCTTGAAACCAGACACGTCAGACAAAAGCAATGGGAGGATAGCAGCTCGGATATTCAGGTTGTTACATGGATTATAATTAAACGGCCTTTAGTAGTTACACATATCCCATATCTCACAGTCGTCGAGTCATCAAAATCATCAGGCCAACTCAGCCCCGGAAAAGCGACAAGTCAGTACGAATAAACCAAAGCAGGTCAACGTCGTTCATCATGAAGAAAGAAAAAGAAAACAAAATCCCGCTCCCAAAGCCAGTACATAACACAGTTAACAGAACAGTTGCTCCATCAAAAAAATGCCGAAAAACCCCCTGATCGTGGATATCGCAAAGGTTCAATCAATGGCTCCGATCCAAACGCCACCAGACCCGTGTCTCAGGAAAGAGAACCGTCTAAATATCAAGTAATAGGAGCTGAGTGTGACGCCTCATATCATGTTACTTGTACTCATGTCTATCGACGGGAAACTGTGATTCGACTGGCTGATTGCATTGGCAGACAATCGGTCGCCGCTCAACACTCTCACGACTTTCTTATCTTTCCCTGGCCTCGCAACGAGGACCTGAGCCGGACACACAACTATCTCCTCATCACCTTCGCCTTCATCGCTTCCCTTTTTGACCACTAGTGGGAAAAGGACGATCCGGACTACAGCCTGTTGCTCCTCCAGTTCTTCATTGGAGGTAGTCTCGCCGCTTCGCTCATTCATTAGATCGGCGTTGAAATGGACCTTGCGAATTAAGTCGCCATTGGTATCGTATTCAGGTCTCAAGGGTGGAAGCATGATATATTCTGCCTTTTGAGTGCGCATCTCAATAGAGAGATCAACAGCCGCTTTCATCACTTTCCGGAGAGAATCCAGAATGCTCTGTTCTAGTTCGTGCGGAGGTGGAAGGAGCTTTGACAAGGTACGATATATCTCTTGCACAACTGCTTCAGAGTCGAGTGCCCGTTGCTCTTTGAAGGCGCGTCTCTTGGCAAGCAACGAAAGGGTGGTGGCTCTCCATCGCTGAACGGCAGCCGGTGGTCCTACTTCACTCAATTGCTTTTCAAGAGTCTTTAGCTTTTGTCGCTGTTCCCGGTCCATACCAAAGAGGTAGCGTGTAAAGATGTAATCCCACATCATTGTCATCACCACGGACATAAAGATATCACGACGCTTGACACGGTCGGCAAGGTAAGTATCAACATCAGAACCGTCCAAGATGGAGTTTTCAAACCGGTCCGTGACCTTCTCATCCTGAAGGCTGCTCGTCAAGCGGCACAACCGCATGTCGGAGAACTTGGAAAATCGCAGCACCCATTGTTGCACGTGGTGGCAGAGTTTCTGGCAAGCCGCTTCGAAGTAGTCTTCATCGCGGAAAGTGATGATACTATCGTGAGACGAAGCGACAATCTTTTCCTGGAGCTCCTTGATCTTATCTTGAGCTTCTAGTAGCTCCCCGCGGAGTCGACGGATTTCTGCATTCTTTTCCGCTAGAGCTGTACTGACTTCATTGCTCACTATCCCCTCCATCCCAGCAGATAACTGAGTGTATTTCGCCCGGAGATCCTCTAGCTCCTCCCTCGACCGCTGCCATTGTTTCGCGATTTCATGGTGTTGGCTTGTCTCCTGTTCGCGAGACGATTGAAGGACTGAATTGGTCGCTGAGAGACTCTCGTTAAGGTCTGTGAGCCTTGCAAGTTCACTTTGAAGCCATTGCGAAGACTTCTTTAGCTGGCTTATCTCAGACTGTTTATCTTCGATCTCGCGTTCGCGCGCTTCGAGGGCCTTGGCATGTTGTCTTTGGTTGATTGTTTGGACTTCCAGCGCCTTTTCAGTTGTTGACTTGGCTGTCGCAAGTAGGCGGTTCTCCGATACCAATTGGTCGAGGCGGGTTTCGAGGTCTTGCAGGTGCTGCAGGCTGCGCCGGCGACGGACACTGGGCGGGCGCGACGGCGAAAGCGGGGAGCCAGGCACATCGCCCCAGCCTTCCTATTAAATGCGCAAAAAGACAAAAGGTCAGCTCCATCAATTCCATCGCCGTCGTCGGCGCGCAGACATCAACAGGTTAGCTTACATAAACATCGGCCGCCATGCCGCGCAGGGGGTGCTTTCCTTTATCGGTAACCGGGTCGTAACTGGAGGAAGAGGCAAGAGCCTCAATGGTCGCGCCTTCTGTTTCGGATTGGGTCGGAGATTCGTTTTTCCGGCCGATGAGCTCGGCTTTGCGTTGAGCCCGAAGGTCGCCGCTTCCGGGACTGCGGCGAAGACGCAGTGAATCTGTTGACCGGAGACTCTCGACGCTGACAATGCTCGCTGGCCGGGCTATTTCACTGTTCTCTGGGGTTTTGAGGATGTTGTCATATGGACCTGAGAATGAACGAAGTTTTGCTGGTTTTGGAGTGGTCCTTGGAGTCTCATAGGATACCCGGCGAGCGCCTGCATCTGGTGTCTCGAGCTTTGGGTGGTTGGCGAGTCCTATGCCGCTGGACTTCCGGTCAAGTTTCGCAAATTTGATACCCCTTTCCGGCGAGCCAACGTCTGAAACTTCACGAGAACGGGTGTGAGAAGGCGACTCTGTTGAACCTTGCTCCTTGATTGTAGCAAGAGGGGTTTTTGGAGGAGATCGAGTACGGTGCGGTTCAGTTAGTCCAAACGGCCCACCAAACAAAGACGGAGGTTGCTGTAGAGATACATGCTCAGGGTCGGGCCCATCGGGCGTTGGTTCTAGCTTCCTTGAAGGAGTAATCGGACGGAGAATCGGCGACAATTCTGGTACCTGCATAGTTTTTCCATCTTGCGCCATTGCACTAGGCTCATCCATTTGTACGCTCCGTTCGCCAGTTTCATTTACTTTGGGATCATAGCTTCCTTTTAGCAGACTTTTTTCGTCCCATTGCTCAGTATAATCGGGATTTATCTTGATACCCCAGGCTGGGATTGGTTCAAGGGATACTTTTCTCCTAGTCACGCGTTCAAGATGCGGAAAAACGCTACCAACTACTCCGGTGGACTGTTCAGCGATTTCTGGTCCTTCCGGTTTCTTTGACTCGGGCGCCGGCTCAACTTCGGTTTCCCGTTTCTTCTTCTTCGATTTGCGTCTCGAGAGCGGTGAGACATTGCTTTCGACTGGTGGTTCGCTGATGGTATCCTCATTGGTTGGCCCAAAACTTTTACGGCTCGTGTCGGGTTGGCTTTCCTGTCCAGTAATCCCAGAAATGCCGGCAGTGGGCTCAAGTTCCTCTGTTGATAGAGTGTTCTCGAAATTTGGCTGCTTTTGCTTTCCATTTTTGGCCTTCTTTCTTTTTGTGCTCAATTTTTGAGCCACAGGCCAGATATCTTCTCCCGGTGCACCACTTTCACCAAACTTATTCCACTGTGACCCCTTTTCTGCATGAGCCTCGGGAATTTCACCTAGAGTTGATTCGGCGGTTTGCCTTGGGGGATTTAATTGGCGTGCAGCCGCGCTATGCGCATGATCTGCCGCAAAAGTTTCGGGAGGCTGCTCTTTACTGTCACTCTGCCGTTCACCCGGGAGAACGCCTAAAAAAGGACTCGGGGAGCGATTATCAACTATAACACGAGCAAGGGGTTTAGCATCGTCATCGAAATCTTCAATGTCGCCTTCAATTTGACCAAACAAATGGGACTGATCCATTGCAATAGTATCTTCGGTGCTATGGATCCGATCCCCTGACAGCTGTAAATCAAGAGAAGAGGTTTCTGGGTTTGACGCTTCATCGTGAAAGGATATATCATCCATACCTTGCTTAGGGCCATCCCAGTCAATTGATGGCAACGAATCAAAATCCCTCGGAGCGTCTTCCTTTACCTTAGCATCTGCAGGCTCTTTTCGTGGAGACTCCTCGGCTTCTGTGGCTCCAACCAAAACAGTATCCGGGGGCTCCGTTACAGTTCCATCAGCCTGCGGATTATCCAATCGGTTCTCAACCTGAACGTCGGTCGGTTTACCCTCTAGAAATCTAGATGTTTCCACGCTGGGTTCAGCAAATTCTGGCTCCTTGGGTAACTTTAGAGTATCGATGCGGGTTTGTTTCGAAGCCCTTTTAATTTTCCCTCCTTTCAATTTCGTTGAGGCTTCGCGTGAGCTTTGATCTGGTGCTCCCGCTGAAACCAACACGGTCTGCTCGTCAGCCAAGAGCTCGCCTTCTTGTGGGAAGTGACCTTGGCGGGTGATGCGAGAATCTTCAGCAGGATTATGTGTTCCAGGGTTTGGTGCCAGGTTTACCTCTTCCTGTAGAGCTTCATCCAGGCCAGGGAACTTGTCAGCGAGCGTGTCTGGTTTCGGGTCTTCAGCAGTAGCGGTACCAATCCTATCGACGGGGATGATTTTGGGGGTGGCCTGTTCGGTAGGCTGGTTACCAGGGATGGTATCCGGGACGTTGATGTCCGCAACAGCCTCAACAACTGCTAACGGGCTTCTCTCACTCGAGTCGTGTTCCATAGTTGGTCTCTCTACCTCTGTGAGGTTATCGCGCTTGAATTCGTCAATGCTAGGTGATGGTGTTGATATTTCTTGCGTCGAAGGTGTTGCTTCCAGGGTTCCAGGTCCTAGTTCAAATCCAACTTCACTCGAATTCTTTGCCGGGGTTTCTTGTTCTGCAGCAGGAACCGCTTCGGGCTGAGATGGCGAGGTTTCTGAAATTTCGAGTGTTTTTTCATCCGCCTGATTTTCTGTATCCCGCAATATACCGGAGTTTGGGGAGTCGAAAAGTTCGTTTGGCACTTCTGCTGCCGCATTGTCGTTAATATTCCCCTCTATAACGCCTAGATCAAATTTCTTTCCTTTCTTTTTCTTGGCTCGTTTCTCCTTCTTCGATGGAAGGTGCTTCGGTGGCTCCAGAGCAGCAGGATCGGCGTTTTCGGGTGAATCAGCGCTGTCTTCCTTTTTGCGGACAGCCTCAGCAGTGTCTCCCGTGTCCTGCCCCTTTTTTGTCTTTTTGCTTTTCTTCTGCTTAGGTTTTGCCGTTTCATCTATGGTAGTCTCGTTTCTGCCTTGTTCATCGGCTTGGGAGAATGTCACCTGCTGGACATTCTTAAACTGGTCCGTTTCACCACTTTGTTCTACGGCAATACCTTCTCCTTGACCCTCCTCAACATGATCATCAATATCATCGATTTGGTCGAGTTTCATAGCCGGTTCTTCGCATTCCGCCATGGAAGGGTCAGTGAGAAGGCCAGGTACAGCCGCTGAAATCGGCAATTCTGGATTGATCTCAATTGGCTGTTCTGTCAACTCTGGTTCATGGGTTAGTTCGGGAAAGGTAGGGCCTATCAACTCCCTTTCGTTACCGCCAACATGGATTTCCGGAATTCTAGTCACCAATGATGGGCTCTGAATTATACCAGGTGACTCCGGCGAGGCAATATGACAAGGGGACTGTTCATCGGAAGCCATAGCTTCCAATGCTACATCCCCCTCTGATTGGTCTTGATTGTTTGCAGGATGTTTTTCCGAAGTTAGTTCGGGGGTAGAACGACCACCATGGTTCTGTGCGCTGCCATCATCGGGGAAATTTTGTTGAGTTTCAGGGCCAAGGGGTACGATTTCGAAATCAGCCAAGTCACTCTGCGGCTCTTCAACAAGATCCTCATTCTCGATTGCTTTTAAATATGCCCCTGAATCAGCTTCGGTAGACTTGGGTGATGATCTCGGTGCCGGGAGTTCGGTCACAGGGTCGATATCGGGTGACAGCTGTTGCTCCGTAACGTCTGGCAATGGATTTGCGGCAGCGCTGTCGGTACTATCCTCGGGCAGTATTCGCAATTGACGAGAAATCAATTCACTTTCGAGAATGTTGCCGGTTTTCTGGTCTTTATTCTGGGCATCGATCGCGGGAATATCGTCTGTCTCGGATACCTCTGTAACTGCCAATCGCGAAGGATCTTGGTCAGCAGGCTCCGTTACAACCTGCTTACGGGGAATTTCATCAGTCCAATCGGTCGCCTTAGCGTTTCTCTTTGATTTTCTTTTTTTCTTCTTGGAAGATTGAAATTCTTTACCGTCCGCTTCAGCGTTCTCAACCATATTTTCAACCTCAATAGTCTCGTTTGATTGTGGTCGTTCCTCCTGCAATTCTTCGGGTATATCGGTCACTATCTTTCGGGTAGGAGTTTCAGTAGCGTTTATTAGCTCATCGTCGTCTTGTCCAGGCTCGGGGAAACCGGGTGTGTCAGGAGTTGAAGTTGGAACAGCCTCTGGCGTTTCTGCAATTTCAGACCAGTCGAAAGATTGTTTTTTCTTATCTTTCTTGGCTTTCCGTTTCGATTTGCCTGACTTTGGCTCCTCAAAATCGGGTTCAATTGCTTGCTGGACATTAGTTACAGACTCGCCCGGTAAGTCGGCTTCGGTGTTGATTGTGTCAACCACGTCTGGGGGTGCCAAAGGGGGAACTTCTTCCTCCCATGATGTCGACTCTCGCTGCTTTCCCTTCGCTTTCTTCGCTTTTCGTTTAGCTTTAGCAGATTTTGGTTCTCCAAACTCCTGTTCCTCCGTCGGTAGGTCTCCTCCGGCAACCTCGTCAATGGGCTTTTGCTGAGAGGCCGACTCGTCGGGCTCTTGAATTGCAGGTTCTTCCTCTTCCCACGGCATCGGAAGCTGCGTTTTGCCCTTCTTACCCTTTTTCCCTTTCTTTGTTTTGGCCGCTTCAAAAACAGCTCCGGTGCCAGGCTTCTCACTTTCATGGATTAGTTCATTGATCTCCGCTCCAGTTGAAACTTCAATAGGGAGCTCTGGGATAGTTGGTTTAGCGAGAGAATCTTTCTCAGTCGTATCCGGCTCCTGTTCAATTGTTTGGCGACTTTCCTTTTCTAGACTGGGCATTTCTTGAGATTGCGGCTCATCGATAATGTCAAGCGGGACAATCGAGGCAGGTTCCACATTTTCTGCAGGTACACCCTCAAGGAATTCGTTTGGAGAATCCCGTCGAGTCGATTCGACTTCCAATTGCAGTTGACTGTCAGCTACAGGTTCAAGAGAAGCTTGATTTTCGGTGGTCTCAGGAGGGGTTTCTAGGGCATCCTCGAAATTATCATCATCTGTTGTGGGAGATTCCTGAAGGGTGGCCCGGGTGTTTTGCTTCCTTTTTTTATCTTTTCGGGATTGTTTCTTGGAAGGCTTTGCAATCGACCAAACATCTGATTCTGCGATAGACGAGATTGGCAGATGTGGTTGTGTCTCAGTGGCTGGCTCCGCGGCCTCAAGTTCGGACTTTGATTCGCTAGGCTTGTGTTTTTCAGTATCGATACTTTCCAGTGCCGTCTGCTCTGGCTCCACTGTCCATGGAGCTGGCTCAGCTTCGGTTGAACAAGGAGCCGTTGCATCTGTTGGCGGCTCATTGTTGGTCGGTAAGAAAGAGTCGTTTGGGGTGGGCTCTTGAGCTTCAGGCACAGCTGTTGAGATGGAATCTCTACCTTTTCTCTTTCCCTTCTTTCCTTTCTTTGCCTTGGGTTGGGCCCAGAGGTTATCCGCGGCATCGTCATTCACTCCAGCCATAGTATCGGGACCAGTGTGACTAAGGGAGTGTTGAGTTTCTGATAGCGATGCGTCTTGTTCCTGTGATTCTGAGGACGGGGCCTGAAAGTCAACCTGTATTGGTGTTTCGTCCTGTAGAGGTACTTTCTCAATAGGAGATTCGGGCGACTTCTTGGAGTTCAAATCTTGATTGTTGATCGGCTCTTCTAAAGTAAATGGCCTATTGGATTCGTCCATTTCGGGAGCGTTTGATGGCGACGGAGTATCAACTTTTTCTGTATTAGAGGAGGGTTCCACATCCTTTTTTTCATCCGGACAGGAGGGCACCGTTTCGGGATGGTCAAATGACACCTGAGACTCGACATTCTTTTCGTGCTCCAGACCGTCGTTGGAAGTGCTGTGGTCAAATGCCAAACCCCGATTTTCGTCTTTAGTCAAATCCTCCGCTGATGTTTCCACAGCATCAAGTCCGCCACGCGTTAAATCATGCGTTTCTCCCATGAGAAGGGGTAAAGAGACCTCAGACGATAGGATTTCCTGCCCATGATCTATAGATTCAGGGCATTCCAAGCCACCATCTATCTCGACATTCTCTTCCGTAGCTTTAGGGCCAGCAGGCAACGGGTCATCTTGAGATTCAGCGGGGGCATGCTCAGCATCATGGGTTACTTCTAGGGGAGGTTTTGCATCCTCTTCAAAGTGCGGCTCAATTGGCTTCTGAACTGTATCAACTTCGCGCTGTTTACCTTTGCCTTTCCCCTTTTTACTTTTCTTTCGCGAAATGGGCGCCCAGTTAGCCTCAGTAGCGTCCATCGTCGGTGCGGTTATGCCATCATCGGCGGGTTGAGCTTCTGTTCCAAGTTGCGGAGGCTCAGCTTTATCATCAGACGCCATTGGGTCAGGAGTGGCTTCATCAAGCCGTTGCGAGTCAACATCCGGTAAATCGACACCGGTTGACACTTTCATACCTTTGCCCTTCTTGCCTTTGCTCTTTTTACGAGAGATGGGCCACATATCATTTTCGTTTGATTCAGTTGGCTCGAGGGGAACATCAACTTGCGAGGAGGAAACAGGATTTTCAATTTGTTGCCCTTCACTTGCGGGTTCCAGACCAGATACAGCATTTAAAGGACCCTCAGAAGGTAAAAGCTCGCTAGCAGGGATGATAGGTTCGGGTTCAGTCTCAAAAGGTTCTTCGAATTCACCGGGCAGCTGCTTGGGAGCAGCATCAGCTATTGGAGCAGTGTCATCCACGGGTTGTTCCCTGGTAATTTCCGTGGCGACTACGGTATCAAGCTCTTTCGTGTCCGGAGCAGTAAGCTCTGTATCGTCCTTCTTCGCATCATCAAGCTGTAGCGCCCCCTTCCTTTTTTTCTTTTTGCCCCTATTGGATTGAGCGGGTTCAGTTTCAACCTGAGTGGTCTCACTTACTTCGGTAGGGCTCTCTGGGTTAATGCTACTGAAAACAGGTTGTCCTAACGGCTCAGATGATTCAAGGGGCTCTGCGGCATCAGGGACTTTGTCTTCTTCCGCTTCCACTGTTTTCTCCTCTGCAATAAAGTCTTCTGGCGTGGCCTTTTTGCCTCTACGATTTTTCCGTTTCTCCTTTTTCGACAACATAGGCAAGAAGTCAGCTTCTGTAGCTTCCATCGTTTTAGCGGCTTCGTAGGGCGCATCTTCTAGCGCAGGATGAGATCCTTCCGCTTCCTCTTTTCCGGGAATCTGAGCCGGTTCCACCACAACAGATTTGTCTGCTTGTTCTTCTTCAGTCTTGTCCATTGCAGGGGCTGTTTCACTTAAGGACTGCTTATTTTTGCGCTTTTTCTTCTTCTCCCTTTTAGAAAGCATGGGTGCGAACTCTCCATCCACTTCCTCTACAGTCCCGTGCGATACATCTGGTAAAGGAACAGGTTCCAGTGATTGGTTCAACTCTGAAGCTTCAGGGGCTGGATTTAGTTCAGGTTGCCCTATTTGTTGCCCCTCAAGGTCCTCAGGGTTTGCTAGCTTCTTCTCTGCTATCTTCTCTAAGCTTGGGATGCCCTTGCTTTCTCCAGGGGGAGCGATAACAACATCGGGGTCGAAGCGTTCAACAAGAGGATCAGCAGTTGCAGGCTGTTCCGAGGGTTCCACCCCGGGTATGTAGCGACTTTTGTCTTGTAGTGGCTCCGGTAACCCAAAATTGGCTTCAGCTAAGGACTCCTCCTTTGGTCCTTCTTCCCGCTCTTCCCTTTCAGCCGGAGGGGAAATTTCAGCAGATGGCCGTTTTTCGGTTTCCGTTTTCTCATCATCTTCAGTTAGAACAGGAGCAGCGTCAGCTTTTGCGTCATCAGGAACCTCGCCGGCGGCATGAGGAAGTAGTGAAGGCTCGTCGAGAGGGCTGGTAGCGCTTCTCTCTTCAATTACATCACCACTGGGAGCAAACGTTGGCAGAGGCATTGGCTGTTCGACTGCCTTGTCCTCTTCTTTTTCGTTGGCATCATCGGAAGAAGGTTTCATTGTAGCAGATTGTTTCTTCCCTTTGCCCTTATTCTTGCCCTTCTTGCTCTTGCTTCTGGAAACAGGGGCAAAATCAGCTTCTGTAAATTCTTTTAGAGCGAGGTTAGGCTCGTCGGATGGCTGTTTCAAATCTTCAGGGAGAAGAAATGCTGCAGGTTCTGGGGGTCCCTCGTCACTGATATTGGATAAATTAGGTTCAGGGATATCTTCGGTGGGCAAAGGTCGTTCCTCTTCTTGGATATCAGTCTTCACGCCTGCACTTGATCCTTTATCCTTCTTCTTCCCCTTTTTACCTTTCTTGGGCTTGGTAGAAGAAGCTTTAAAATCTTCCTCTATCCCTGCAGGTTCATTATCGTTGCCTGCAACAGGGGTCACAACACCACTAATGTTGGGAGAATAAGCGAATTCGGGAAATGCACCAGCCATTTCAGTAAATTGCTTTGCTTCCAGGGGGTTGAGTTCGGGCGAAGTCCCTTCAGCTTGCTCTAGAGGAACGGGCTCGACGGTAACTTCATCATTCGAGAGAATTGTCGGCTCCACGTAAGCAGGAGCTTTGGAAAGGTCTGAGGTTGCATAATCAGTGGCTATATGGCTATCAGTATCAACAGTGGCTTCTGGCCCTGGTAGTTCTTGCTTTTCTTCCTGCACCACGCGCTTAGCCGTCACATCCTTTTGATGGCCGTCTTCGTGTGCATCTGCCTTGTCAGGAACAATGTCAACGTCCAGTTTAAGAGATTCCGCTTCGAGTTCAGAGCCGACATCTGAAGGCTTATCCTTATGGCTAGTTGTTGTGGGCTCGAAAATATCTTGGCTTTCATCCTGTAATACAGCGGGTTCCATCTGTGGATACAGTTTTGGAGATTTGGTCAGCGTTTCATCCCAGGTTTCCGTGACTTTCTGTCTCGGGGTGTTTTCTTCGTCGCCAGGCGAGATTTGTTCAAGATCATCAGCTTTTTCGATGATGGGGATATTGACATCGGCTGGCACTTCCTCTTGGGGACTGGCGGGTACCTCAGCGTCGACAGGCTCGAAAACTTCTTTTGTAGCATTATCCGAGATCTCACGACCGGCTCCGCTGCGTGACTCCACAAACCTGTCTTTGGTTGGAGATTCAGGTACAACAGAATCAGTACAGGCCTCATCTCCCATCCGTAGTCCATCAGAAGGTTCCTCTGCTCTTTTTTCCATCTCAAGGGAATTCATGATAATGGCAGGCGCTTCTACAACAGATGTTGGAGAAGCAGCAATAGGAGTACGGTCTCCGTAGTGCTCATATTCCACGGCTGATTCATATGCACTAAGAGCCGTTGATGGACGACTTCCAAAATCTGGTGCTTGGCCGCGATCCACGGGGGATCGATATTCGTAACTAAAATCCGGTATGACAGTGGAATCAGATCGGGCACTTATGCTAGATCTATCCCCAGCCGTGCGCCATGATTCGGCTTCGGTGACGGGACTCGGAGGGCCGCTATATGGCAGCGGCGGCAGATCCTGGTCTAAGGGGAGAACCGTACATGAAATTGGTGGTAACGGCGGTGGCACATCAGCCGCACCAAATGGCCCCATAAGTAATTCTGAAGGCGAATGAAATTCGTACTGCGGCTTATGTCTCTTCTGCGCCTGTTGGAAATCTTCCGCTGTTGGCGTCGCTTGTTTGGAGCCCAAAATATCTTCGTTGGGTGGACCCTGGCGTGTATCAATATGCAATGACAGTGGTTGACGGCGAGGAGAAAACAGCTGGTCGTAGGCAAATTCTGGTTGGCCATAAGCCTTAAAATCTTCTACTGAAGCAGTCCGTGAGGTTGTCCGGCTCGATGGAAGGGAAGGATATGGACCTTCCTGAGGTTGTTCTACTTTTGCAAAATTATGCCGCTCAACAAGCCAAAGTGGTCGCAGCTCCCGATCAGTTTTGAACTCAGTCGATTTTGGCCTTTTATGTCCCTTTGCCGTCGTTGGTGACCCTGATAAAGGAGGTGCCGCACCGGTTGTTGGAGATCCATGACAACTAACAGGCCGACGGAAATACAACGGTACGGCAGTTGGCGAAGGAGTTGCAAGTGGATTGAGGTCGGGATCACCACGAACCGAGATTCGTCTTGACCTGGTTGTTTCTGGCGAAGTCGGCCGGCTCCGAGACAGACGCGGAAGTTCAAACTTTTGGCCTGGGAGTGGTGAACTTGAGCGACTGCGAGCACGGCGGCTGAAAATCATCTCCACTGGAATGGAATTGACAGGAGTAGTGGGCTCTACCGGGAGATCCGCAAGCTGAGAACTTGTATCAGCCCCGGAAGCACCATCATCCTTGGACGGTATTTCGGGGCTACACTCTAAAAAAGGCTCCGGTACCGAGTCACGATCGTGGATTGATGGTTCACTTGTTACAGGTTCAGTCGCCGTAGCGCCCACCTGGTCTACTGTCAGCAACTGTCATCAATTATATGTACATACAAAATAAAAATGAATTATACCTCTGGCTCTACTTGCTTGCTTGACTCGACAATCTCCTCATACCGGCTTTTTCGATCCTTCTTACGATCCTTACGCTTTTGCTTCTGAGACGGCCAGCCTATCACATCTTCGTCAGGTTTCTCTGGAGGGTCTAATGGAGGCTCCTTTATAACGGAATCCTTGACATCAACAGTTTGTTTAGGTAGTGGCTTAATCTCTGGTCCTGCAGACTCGTCATCTAGGTAGTTTGAGGCCGCGGATGCTTGTTCCATCCCTGAAAAGCCGCTGCTTTTACGCTTTCCTTTCTTTCGCTTCCCTTTTCCCGATGGCTCTGTTGGAGACTCAGTCTCCTCCTTAGCCGTTTCCTGTCGAGACGGGGAGTCGATCTCCCAGGACCCAGGGAGTGCTGGTGGAAACAGATCTGCCATATCAAGATGGTCTTCCAGCTTTGTCTCGAGTTCATGATTTTTGAGATCATCAGTTTCCTGAGCTTGTGATCTAGAAGTCTCGGAATCAACACCCTTGGCCTCTAAATCGCCGCTTTTCTTCTTGTTCTTAGACTTTTTTCGCGATTTCTTGCTTTTCGTCTGTTCGATATCGTGTTCAGGTTGGGTTGAATTTTCTGGCAAGATCAAATCGGTGGGTTCGCCTGCACCTCGGGTTACAGTCGGCGCCTGGGTTATAGTCTGGGGTAGCGACTGTACAAAGTCCGCGGAATAAGAAGGGGGTTGGATTGAGTGTTCGCTCGCCAATGGCGTATGTCCTTGAGCACTGTTTCCCTCACTGATCAAATTAATCGGCGTTCGCCCCTCTTCAGCATCGGAGAGGCCTCGATTTCTAGGCTCACTTTCATCTTGCGAGACTCGGTGTTTAGGAAGCTGATGCCTTAAGGGGGTCCATGTAGTAGGTTCGGCATGAACAACGTCATGGAAGACGTCTTTGCTTTCTTGTTCTCGGGGAGCAGGCTGCTTTTCGGCAGGAATCTGAGATGGCAGTTTCACGGAAGAACCTTTCTCCTCCTCAGTGTCAGACGCGGGCAACGACTCAGGCTCCACATATCCATGGACGGGAGATATACGTCTACCAACGGAAGCATCATCCAATTCTTCAAAGGACACGGTTCGGGCCGGAATATCTTCGGCTTCAGAGTCATTAGGAGAGCTGCGAGAATGATACATAGGGTCGTTGGTGACAATGGAAGGATCAAAACCTGCTATCCTCGCACCGGCGGCTAGGGTAGCAGCAAATTCAATGTCATCCTCAAATCCACCAGGTATATGTTGATACACGACTTCTTCAACAGAGCTATCATCGCTGTCTTCGGCATATTTCACCTCAACTGGCCTGGGAATTTCCGTCGCTTGTTGCTTGGTTGAAGCTTCCGTGCCCTTTTCGGTAGGATTTTGTTCGGCATCTATCCCAAGACCTACAAGACGATCCTGCTTCACATCTCCCCTTTCGGACGCTACATTGCTCCGAGTATCTTGTATCTCAGAAGGCGATACCTCGCGGTCCAGCGAATCACCATTTGCCCGAACTTCCTCCGCCTCGTAAGGCAAAACTTGAGGATCCATAGTCTTGTCTGCGCGTTCCGTGGGACTGGAAACTTCATCAGGAGCTTCAGGGAAAGTGTCCTCAGAGATGACCGATGCGGCAGAACTATGTGGAGGAGTTGGCTCGATCAATTTGAGTAGAGGAACGGGCCAGGGAAGACCTGTAGTGCTGGCACCTTCACGCATCCGCGACATTTCCCTGTCAAACTTTACCTTTGGCGACTCACTGACTGAATAAAATTCCGAGCTCACATCTGATCGAGGAGAGCTTTTAGCCGACCGCACCTCATCAGGGGCAAAATATTCGACATAACTCTCATGAACTGGCGACGATATAACGCGCTTCGTGGCTTCTCTTACGATGCGCCGGGCCATTCGCTTAGATCTATCATCACTTTGTTGGATTTCTTTCGGTTCTACTTTGGATATAATTGGCTCATCCTCATCCGATGCCTCGTAGCTGCGAACCTGTTTCCTTCTTTGCTCGTTCCCGTCCCGTCTATGTTCCTTTGGTTTTCCTTTGGCTGCGAACGATGAATCCTCGTCCGATAGCTCATAGCTGTGACGTTGCTTTATTCTTTGCTCCTGTCGCCCCTCTTTTCCTTTATCACTTTTCTTTCCATCCAGATCATTTAAAACGGCAGAAGTAGAGGCTGCACCCACTATAGCTGCAGCAGCAGGGACTGACCATGAATAATTTGAGGAGTCGTCACTTAGTTCGTCCCAGTCTTTGGGGCGGATTTCCACATACTTACGTGGGGGATCACGCCGCGGACTCGGTTCCGGTTTAGAAGTGGTATAGTCTGGCGATACACGAGATGCACGGTCTTTGAGCAGAGCTTTTCTCTCTTCTTCAAGTTTCTGCAATCGTAGTTCCTTTTCAACTTGCTCCTGAGTCAAGTCGAACTGGACTTGTGATGTGGAATTTCGCTTGAGCACTTTCACATCGGGGCTGTCAGAACGCTTGGTGGGAAATACCGGTGATGATTCTCTTCTCCGGTGGGTATTTTCCTTTCGTGGAATTCTGGGATGTCGGTCGTCGTATTCATCACGTCGAAGTCTATATGTGTCGACCGGGTTCGCTCACCGACTCGACCGCCGGCGGAACATAATTTTTCTCGCTTTTGTTAGCAGATGTGGTGGGAGGATTGACAGGTGCGGGTTCTTTTGATTGTACACGTTTTGCGAAACAGGCGCTATGGGCTGAGGTTGGTCGAGCTGGATTGACTCGGCATGCGACGCATACAAAGGTTCTCGGGGTTGATTGGACGTAGAGGTTGAAATAAAACTCTCTGTCCCAGCATCGAATCGAGATATATCAGACGCAGGAATAGGGTCGACATGGTGCATGGATGGGAGACTAGTACCGCTTTCACTTGGTGGAGGCCGATCGTGAATAACAGCAGGTCGGTCAATTCGCGTCAAATCTGGCTCACGAGGTTTGGTAGCTTTTGATTTATCTCCACGGCGTTTGCCCCATTTCCAGCGCCATATCGACGTTCCTGAATCCGACGAACCACCATACGCCAGGTCCGAATCTAAACTTGACTCTCCCACTGATTCCCAGCCATCATCATCAAGTGCTTCGTGACCGGAGGACTTCTTTGACTTATGGCTGCTCCTTTTTTCACCGCGGCGGTGCACTTCTTTTACAGCCACAACATCAGGCCGACGACGCCCATTCATATGAGACGCAGCGCTGGCCAAAGAAACGGCAGTCGATCCCAAGCCAAGAAGTTTAGTGTCTAAATCATGGTCATCTTGTTTTTTGCTCTTAGATTTTCGGGAACGTGTGCGGTAAAACCCAGTACCAAAGGCAAGATCAGCATCATCTGACGAGGATGGGGATACGGAACGGAAGCCAAAAAAGCCTCTCTTCGCGGTCTTCTTCTTCGGCTTTTCTCCTTTGTCGCTTGATCGCCTCTCTGAAGGAGCAGTAAAGAAATACGATAGCCCCGCTAGGCCCGGCTTACCAGACGGGCGGGATATATCGACAAGGGAACCTGATGAAGACGAGGACGAATATTTCCTCCGCCGATATTTCTTAGGTGAACGGCTTCGGCTCTTGCGGCGAAGATTTGATGGTGAAGCAGCAGCACCAACTGCGGCTGCAGCAAGTGCGGTCCCCGTCAACTTTGTGCCTCGTGTCGCTTCTGATGTGGAAGACGTCTCCGACGCTGACCGTGGACGTCGCGATGCACGGGATTTAGAGTCGAAATCGTCAGAAGGCAAACCATAAGAACTGCTACCTACTTTTCGGAATTCAGTATACCTATCCTCAAGCAGACTTGGAGAATGGCTGCGACCTGAAACTGTCGTGACACCTCGCGAGGTACGACTTTTCGTCCCAAGCGAGGATACACTGTGCATGCTCTGTGAATATTTCGAACCCGTCGAATGTTTGGATGTAGTGCTGGAGTTATCAGTCCGGGTCGATCTGGCCTGGTCATAAACCGATTTCCCAACATACGAAGCCAAAGCCCCAGCAAGCCAGGATTTCCTGTTTGATCGTTTGCGGCGGCTTTCATCATCGGATGAAGCATATCGACTATGCTTATCGACCCTAGTTCTGCTAGCATGAGGATCGTAGGAATATCGACGGCTATAATTGTGTTTTCGAGGAGCATCTTGTGCTGTCGTGCCGGGCTCAAAGCAGTACTTGCAAATTCCAGTTATCTCCGAATACTCTTCGAACTGTGCAACACCCTCGGGATCTTTCCAGAAATCAATGAATCGGCGCAAGGGGCCATGGTGTTTGCGATGAAACTCTAATGTTCCTGGTTGAGTTTGGACGTGGCCAGAATGATGCGGTTTATGCAATGTATTGTACGCAGCACCTGTGGCAGCTGCAAGTCCAACACCTGCTCCAAGGCTTCCCATCCCAGAGTGCAATGTCGACGAATGGTGAGGTTGTTGATATCCACCTGCATAACTGTGTGGTCGAACGGGCGTGCTCTGAGGGATCATCTGTGTTTCGTGGCCATCCAATTGCCCAGGGTCAATTCCATAGGTAGCGGGATGGGGGACGAATGGAACGGTTTCGGGTTTCGGAGGTCCCGTTGACGGCCCTGGAGCATTTGAAGGTGGGAGAGGTTCGCTCGCTTCTGTGGGCGAAACATTGTAGAAGGATGCGGCAGCACCAGTTTGGCCCAATGCACTAGGCTCCGTGGGAGGCGCGGCTGTTCCCAAAGGCGACATTAAATGCGGTTGTGTCCCAGCGATGATCGTGGGCGGATTCGGTCTAACACCAGGCTGCGTAGCGACCGACTGTCCCTGATCATTGTAGTATTCAGCTGCCAATCCGTAGGTTGGCGGCGAAGGTATCGGGGCTTGGGGTTGTGTTGATGCGTATTGCGAGGCCGAAGTACCAGGTATCGAAACCGGTACCGTGGCATTTTCTAGTCGCGCAGACTGAGAAGAAGGAAAAGAAGAAGAAGGCTCCGGAATACGGCTTTCCAACGGATGCGGACCAGCGCGCGAAGAAGAATAAAGCGATCGTTCTTCAAGGCCCCCACTATCAGCCCTCCGTCGTCGATGCCGCTGTTCCTCTTTCTGTGGCCCAGTCTGCTCCAGCGCTTCTCTTTCTCTCCTGCGTCGCCTTCTCTCTTCTCGCTCCTCATCCACCTCCTTCCTACGAGGAATTTCATGGCCCCGGTCGCTTTCATCATCGCGCGCGCGTCGCTCCTGTCTTCTAGACTCGGACCGGAGCGTCCTCGTTCCGTGGAGATCTGAATCAAGCGCACTGTGCTCAGCGTCGACATATTCGCTTCTCGACTGAATTCCATTGTTATCGCCATCATCCGCCGGCCATCCAGGATCCGCCGTTACGTAGCTGCTGGAGACCGTCGATCTCGCCTCGCTCTCGGGGTAATATCTATGGGAAGAAGAGGAATGTGTGGGCAATTCGGGATCGATGTCCAAACCACGATCGTCACTTCGTGTAGACTTTCGACCCGACGACGAATTGTGAGAGCTTTTTGACTTGTGGCGAGACGACGACGTTGTTGATCGCTCATCTCGATCGCGATGCCGACGCCGCTCGGACTTGGAGCTCGTCGATCGGCTGCTTGATTTGCCCAGCAAACTTCGCAGCATGACGGACGGCGGTTAAAGTAGAGTCTCGCACCGTGGGAATTGAAGAAAGGTGCTGAGGATAGTCCTCATCGGCAATGTAAATCATGAACAGCAGCAGACAGAGTCCATGCGGCGAGTTATTTGTTTATTGGGGGCGTGCGGGTTTGTTTTGGTGGTTGGTGGTTGTCGCGGTGGCTGGTGGACCGTGGGCGAGGGTCCCTCTCTCTCGGGCGGTTTCCTTGGTCGAAACCCGCGGTCCAAAGTTAACTGAAGGCTAGTGATTAACGGCTTCAAACAAGCCCGTACAAAGACAAGGATACAGCAATGAGATTCGTCAAGTCATCAGTGAAAGGATCCGTCCGTGGCCGTGATGAGAAGAGAAGAGAGAGAGAGAGAGAGAGAGAGAGAGAGAGAGAGAGAGAGCTCAGCTGCGAAAATTGTGGCGGATGGACTAGTTAGTGCAGCTTCACCTGACAGACAGCCAATCAACCCGAGATGGCGGCCTGCAACTCGGCAAAATGTTGAACTAATAAATATTATCTGCTCTGAATACGGAGTATAATCCAAGATATCGCAGCAGTTACTCTCAACACTGACATCCAGAAAATACCAATAACTTGTAGTTAACAATATCCAAACCCAATCATTACGGGGTATTTCATATCTGTACAACATGCATGGACAGCGCCACGAAAAAGCATCTTTACTAATTTCCACCCGGCGGGCTCGTCAAGAACCCAACCCGGTCCCTTACCCTATTTTGCAGCCAATGTGGAAAGGACCTGATATTGCTCGCAAGCGATCCGGACGAGCCGGGCATGATAATATGCCCGCTGGACCCGCTAAGGATCTGCTGCACGACAGCTTCGGCAACGCTGTCTGCTTCCAGCAGGGGGTTAAACCACGTATTCTCCGGGCTGATAACGTTCACCAGGGAGGTGCGCGCAAAGCCTTGGGTCACCACCACCGTCCTCACTTTGGGGGCGTTATAGCGAGTTTTCAACTCGGTGGCCAGACCTTCGTGGAACGTGAGAGCAGCAGCCTTGCTAGAGGCGTAGTCGACCATATTGCTGCTGGTAACGTAGGCCGCCAGCGATGCGATTGTCACCACCATTCCGTGATTTCGGGAAACCATATACGGCAGGAACTCTCGCGCAAGCCAATAGTGAGATAGCGTGTTCACCTCGAAAGTCTGGCGGATATCCGCATCGGTAGTACCAAGGACCGTCTTGCCCTTCAGAACCCCGGCGTTGTTAACCAGGATGGTGGGCTCACCCATCTCGTCTCGGATGCTCTGAGCGGCGCTCGCGATTTCTTCCTGGGAACATATGTTGCACGGGTAGAACTGGACATTGGCCGGAGTGTCATATTTTGGCGCTTGGATATCCAAGATGGCGACTTTGACCCCCCGCGCAGCAAGCAACAGTGCGATCTTCTGGCCAATTCCGTCACTTCCACCAGTGACAACGGCAACCTCGGCGTTCCAGTTATATGTATCTGAGACCCAATTGTTCAAAGCCCGACGAGTAACCCAGCCATTAAGCCAGCGACATAGCCCAAGTGATACCAAGATTTTAAGAATACGAAGGGCGAGCGGTCGCCTACTACTGTAATCCTGGCCTTTGTCCGTGTACCGGGCGAGTAGTAATAACGGCAGCGTCAGCGACGGCGACAACACTGTCCCTTTGATAACCCGCGACACAACATCCGCATTGAACCCTAATAATCAATCAGCACCGCGGCAGGTAAACGGAGACCATGACAGGATACTCACCTTCACGGGGCAACCAACGCCTGGTGGAACGCATCCTCAATCGCGTGGCATCTGACGAAACCAGACACAATTCCTCCTCAATTAGGGCAAAATAAGGAGCATGCTAGAAAGGAGGCGGGATTAAGGACCTCTAGGGGTCTGAGGCAATTATGAAGAGAGCGAAGTCCTCCTTGCCTCGCTGCCAGGTCAGTCTAGTTATAAACTAATGAGTGGTCAATCGACAGGAAAGCGCCATCAATGAACACGCGCATGGTCTCCGTCTCTTCACGGCCGAATGCCTCGGGACATCGTCAGGGGGGGGCACATGTTATGCCCCAAGCTGCAAGCACCGCAAGCTAGGTTTCCACCAACAGGCCGGCATCGTGTCGTTGGACTCCTTGGAGGCTTGCGAGCCTGGGGAGCCAAGTGCGGAGTTGTGGGGTTCGCATTAGGCCAAAATGAGCGCCGGAGTTTCAATATCCCCGCCAGCCGAACGGCTTGAGAGCACCGAGACAAGGACTGTTCGATCATTCATGCAGCATTGTGACCACCATGGGTTTCCTTCGATGTCTGTTTAAAACTACCATCTACGGGTCTGCGGCCACTGCAGGGAGCTTCTATTATCTCACCAAGGACTCCAAATTTGTTCCTCTTCCCCCGTCGGACTATCTCTTCCACTCGCCCTATTTCCACAAATTCAATCCCCAGAACAATCCCACTACTCATGATCATTGCATTAGGAGAGCCCCTTTGTCGTCGATTGACCCACGGCTCCTTTCATCTGAAGGCACCTTGGTCGAAGGATTTTGCGCCAGCGTATGGGGTGGTCTAGGTGTGTCAGAGCCCTTGAGCAACGCAACTAATACTCACCAGGACATGAATGAGGCACGATCGGTTACTTACTCCATTCTCCTACCATTCAGGATACGCCTTCCAGCGAGCTTTTCTAGCGCACAAGTACCAAGGACCCCAAACCGCCCATCAACTGTGGGCTACATCCCAACTCCGTACCTCCAAGTACCCCGTTGGGACACAAATCACGGATCATTTTGAGGTCGTTGAACATACCCCCACCAGAATTATTGTAAGATGTGGTGATTCACCGTTAGTCCGGGGCGTACGGGCTGGTGATGGCCTGTTCGAAATATCCGTTACCGTAAATCGGGCAGAGGACACCGTGGAATTTGGCCTAAAGTCTGCTTTTTACCAGGGCCTAGGGACCACAGATAAAGCTCCTATGGATCCTGTTACCGATTGGTTGCATAAACAGTATACAAAGCTGTTAATGGAGACAGCCCTCTTGAGGATAACAAGATAACCTTGCTTTTGGACTGGCTGTATTTCTTCGCATCCGCAATTGGGTGACTCTTGGGATTCTTGCACTTGATTGGGACTATCGTTTTGAGGCAATTCCGATAGTGTGGAAATTAATCGAGATCGATTTCTTCTCTGGCTTACAATCGTTCATCGCAAACTGCAGTTCTGAAAGCAACAACTCACGTCCTGGGATTCAGTCAAAGTACAATGTCTAAATGGAATGAACCCGACCGTTGAATACAAAACAGATAACATAACACCAGGACTAAAATTTCGTGCAAGGGCCAATTCCATCAATACGCCTTGAGGAAATGTCATAGAGGAGAAACAATTAGAAACAATTCATACAGGCATGTTTGCATTCACTGTACCCGTTGACTGCCGTACGGGGGCCTCAGGATGCCAACCGGCGCTATCTGCAAATGGATGAATGGAATTCTTTCATTCCCGCCAATGGAAGAAGTTCAAGAAGTATAGTCAACCCTCCAGGACAAGGACAAATTTCAGGGCATACCTCTTCATCTTAACAAAACTTTCAGGATTGGCACCTGCCTAATCACACTTGAGGGCACGAAATTTTTAGTGTGCCCCGTGTATTTTCCATATTGCCTTGTGGATGGAAACCGTACAGGGTAGGTCTGCTCTCGTTGAGAATCTATCCACTCAATCAAATTGATTATCCCATAGCGACGAAGTATCTGACATTTCAGTCAGCATCACTTCTTCCTACCTTCCATGGACCTGCTCACTCACCTTGATGCATGCCTTGGTTGAGCTCGTATCCATACGTTTCAAAAACTCAGTTTTGTTGATAGGATGCATGTACCTCGTTATTTCCTCAGTCTCTTGTTCGTCGACAATCATGTCGCAGAGAGCTTTCAGCGCTTCGTGCTTCGTTTTGCAACGTAGCACATCCCGAAAACGGAAACGCAGCTCCGACACTAAACATTCATGCCAGTGCTTTTTGAACAGGCCGTTCTTCTCCGTCCAGCCGCGTTTGTGTGCGAGTCGCCGGAATTCGACTTCGAGCGGGCTCCTTGGGTTTCTCTCAAAGTCGATGCCGTGCGCGAGGAAGAACTCTGAAAATTCTGCGTTGGACATCATTTTTGAAATTGATATTGTTCCTAATGAGGCAATCTGCTGTAAGGTCTGAAATCGCCCGATCGGTAGCGAAAGTAGTTTTGTGAGCCATTATATCCAAACGAAATATCTGAAGTAACTATAACAGCTAACCAGTGAATGTCAAGCCATATATGTAATTCCTCACCAGGAAGTGAATAGGTACCCAATGTAACACGGTCAAGCTTGCGCTAATGGGTGAAGCAACATAGGTTATGAAGACAGGCAGGTGCTGCAAAAATTTTATGCAGAGGCACTCTTTGATTACTGCCATTCTCTAAAGCAGCTAGACATGAATAAAACATGCCTTCACGAAAGCCACTTGGAGAGCAGCTTGTCTGCCAATGAATTTTCAATTTCGACAAGGCCATATCGTACCAGCCAGTCAAAATATTCACTGGAGTACCTTTGTATTCCGAGTTAAAGGGTACAACCTGGGTCAGCCCGGTTCGGTATATCCCTCGCTGCTTTCACATTATGCCCCTGCCGTTCAATGCGTGGCGCATTTGGCCAAGCAAATTCGCTTTTCGGAGTATCTGCTGTTGATATCGACATGCCAGAGTGGGCGTTCCGTTCATGTCGCAAAACTCCCGCTTTGGACTCCGAAGTCGTATTCCAAAACTTACTGAGCGGCCCGGTTGAGCACGAAAAGGCGCCATGTCCCTCAAGGCATATTTTCAGGCACCATTATATCATCAGTCATTACTAGATCGTTATCCATTGCCCAAAATAAAAGTGCTCGTCAAAGCTCTTCCCGCTTCAAACACCAAAATCGGCCAACACGCTCCTTTGCTTCCCAGACGCCATGTGTAAAGTCGCAAACCGCGCCTCTGGTAAACGACGACCGGTCTTGATGCTCTCCAAAACCCTGTCGGGAAAGCAAGTGTAAGCCTAGAAGTAAAAGATTCACAAAGGGGACCTAGCAGGTTTACGAACCACTCAACACCAACAAACTTGACTCCTTGCCCACCCACTCGTTGGATTTCTCGTTGTAGCTTTCCCAAAGCAAGACCACCTCCGGCACCTATCGTCCCAGATTCCTTCAATTTGGGCGAGTTAGGCCGACCCAGGATAACATGCGTGACGGTACGTCTTCCGAGATAGATGGAAATGTTTGCACCGTTGTCGACGAGCATCTGTTTGAGTTTGTGGGTCTGATATCATTGGAGCCGTGGACCCGTTGGATGAAGATGGGTTAAAGCCGCTAAAT